GAGAGAAGAGGAAGGAGAAGGAAGGGGGAGGTGGGAGAAGGAAGGAGAGAAGAGGAGGGGAAGAGAGATGAAGGAGAGGGAGAGGGGGGAAAGGGAGAGGAGGGGAAAAGAGAGAAAGGAGAGAAACCGAGGAGAGTGAGAAGGCATGGGAGGGGTGGGGTGGGGGAAAGGGAGACAAGAGTAGGAGGGGGATGGGATGGAGAAGGGAGGGGAAGGAGGAGAGAGGAGTGCAAGAGAGAAAGAGGGGGAAGGGAGGGGGGAGGGAGGAGGGAGGGGAGGGCGGTAAGGAGGGAAGGAGGAGAGGAGGGAGGGAAGGAGGAGGGAGTTAAACTTGTTGGAAATACTGATAACAGAATTAAAGATGAGGAAACCAGGTAGCGCTCACCTGTTGCCTCTACCTAAAGCATACACCTCACACCCCACCTCTCACACCTCACCCCCACCTCCTCACACCTCTCACACCTACCCCCTCTCACACCTTACCCCTCACCCATCACACCTTGCACCTCATCCCTCACACACCTCACACCCAGACCTCATCCTCACACATCACCTCTCAGACCACACTGCTCACCTCACTTTCAGACCACACTGGTTCACACCTGCCCTCACCTATCACACCTCTCAAACCCCACCCCCTCACACTTCACTCTCACATGTCACACCTGGCCCTCACACTCACCATCTCACCTCACACCTTCACCATCTCACCTCACACTCATCCACCTCACCTCATCCTCACCACCACACCTCACACCTCACTGTCGCACTCACACTCATCCTCATTCACCTCACTCCTCACTCACCTCACACTCATCTCACTCACACCTCATCTCACCTCACTCGCCTCACACTAACTGTCGCACTCACACCTCATCTCACCTCACTTACACTTCACACCTTCCTTTCTTCCACTATAGATATCTAAGTAAAATTCTTCTACTTGGGTGAGAATGGGTGGAGGGGTGGGTGAAGGGTGGGGTGGAGGGGGAGGTGTGGGTGGGAGGTGCAGGGTGTGGGGTGGGAGGGGGTGAGGGGTGCAGGGTGTGGGTGGAGGGGGGTGAGGGTTGGTGAGGATGGAGGGGTAGGGGTGGAGGGGTGTAGGTGGTTGGTGAGGTGGAGGATGAGGGTGGAGGATGAGGTGGAGTGTGTAGGTGGTTGGTGAGGGTAGATGATGAGGGTGGAGGATGAGGGTGGAGGGTGAGGGCTGAGGGGGAGGGGTGGAGGGTGTGAGTGGAGGGTGAAGGTGGGAGGTGTAGGTGGTTGGTGAGGGTGGAGGATGAGGTGGAGGTGGAGGGTGAGGTGGAGGTGGAGTGGGGGTGTGGGCAGAGGTGTGGGTGTTTGGTGAAGGTGTGGGTGTAGGGTAATATTGTGGGTGGCTGGTGAGAGGTGGGAGGATATGGGTGGTTGGTGTGGGTGCAGCGAAAGGGGTGAGGTGCGGTGGAGAGGGAGTGGACGGTGAGGATGGAGGATGAGGGTGCAGGGAGGCAGGGTGAGGGCAGAGGGGTGAGGGGAGGGTGGAGGGTGTGAGGACGGCGAGGGTAGGAGGCAGGTGAGGGCAAGGATGAAGAATGAGGGAGGCAGGGAGAAGGAAGGAGAGAAGAGGAAGAGAGGGGTAGGAATGGCGGAAAGAGTGGTAAGGAGAAAGGAGAAATGAAACAGAAAGAAGAAGAAGAAAGGAAGCAAAAGGAGGAAGGAAAGAGTAGGAAGGAGTGAGAGTAAGGTGATAAGTTACCTGTACCAACGAAATATCTCACTGAATATTCACAAGCGTTCTCGTAGGTGAAGGAGGAAGACTACAATTAACTGACTGAGAAAAAAACACAAACGAACACACGTTACTATACCACCAAATTATATTAAGATACATCCAGTTAACACAGAATTAGGATGCAAAAATTAAATACACATATTTTTTTTACCTTTTAATTGGGATTATTGCTTAACTACTTTTTCTCAGGACTTTAAAAACTTTACACTGGTTTTTCTCCCTCGGGTGTTAGAAGTAATGCAGCCCAGCACGAGAGTCACTTATTGTAAAAGAAGAAAAGATAAGATTATATTTGGTTCAATGAGCTTTCGTGTTGACTGAGGCTGTGAGTTACCCGGATATACATTGTGTATTATTAAGGACACATAACTTCTTTTATTTATTTGTTTGCAATTATCCTCTTCGCCACTGATCAGCTCGCTAGCCGCTTGGGCGGTTGGTCACGTCTCTATTACACACACTGTTCGCAAGTACTGAATATATCTGAACCTGCTCCAGTGTTGGTCAAGTTTGGCCTTAAAAGCGCTCACTCTTGGTGCCGTCACAACGCTCTCTGGCAGGTTGTTTCAAGTTCGCAATTCTCAATCCAAAAAAGTTTGCCCTTGCAGTTTTCTGGACTTGTGGCTTCTTCAACCATGAGATGTGACCCCTTGTGGGGCGGGCGTCCGCGATCCAGGTTTGGACATTCTGAGATTTTTATACACCTCAGTTAGGTCCAAAAAACCCAGTATAGTTATCTAAGATATATAATAAAACTCAATACGTAATGTTTTTTTTTTATTTTACCTTTCCTCTGATTAGTTGAAACTATTAACAGGTAGGTCGTGTAGTGAGTTGACCTTAGTGGAGGAGTAGACATTCCATATATCACAATTAAGGGCTGTCTACATCCTCACAGAATCTCTCTCTCTCTCTCTCTCTCATGTACAATCAAACTAATTTATTATTTCATTGTTTTCTTGTATAACTTTGATGTTGTCTCTATCTTCACAATCTCTCTCTACGGTTCTGGTGCAGTAAATAGGAAACGACAGTGACCCATTGACCCATCCACATCTTAGGTAATGTTTACTTTTATCCTCTTCACCACTGATCGGCTCGTTAGCCGCTTGGGCGATCGATCACGTCTCTGTTACGCACTGTTGGCAAGTACTGGGCATGCACTGGCTCCTGAATGTACCTGAACCTGCTCTAGGGCTTGTCAAGTCTGGTCTTGAAAGAGCTCACACTCGGTGCCGTCACAACACTTTCTGGTAGATTGTTCCAAGAGTTCACAACTCTCACTCCGAAAAAGTTTGCCCTCACAGTTTTCTGGACTTGCGGCTTCTTCAATCTTGAGCTGTGACCCTTTGTGGGTGAGCGTCTTAGCACGCTGGGATACACCATGTCAGAGCCGGGACTCTTATGAACCTTTATCTTTGACAGTTTATTTCTTAAAACCTTCTCTGTGATCTCAATGTGGGTCAATGCTGTGTCGAACCGTCTGTCCTTAAACTCAGGAAGATTGATTGCATCTTCTCTTGTGAACACCGAAGGAAAAAACTGTTCAATGCCTCAGCTTTATCCTGGTCAGAATCTGAGTAACTTCCATCTTCAAGCCTCAGGTCCGATACTCCTACTCGCTTTTTTAATTTCAACTTTGCATCGCGGTAAAACGCCTTTGGGTTTTACTTGACCTCGCTTGTAACCAGTCTCTGGAACTCCTTTACAGCCCTTCTATACTCTGACTTTGCTTGGTTCCTGGCTCTTGCATACATCCCCCTGTCCTTCTCGTTGTTTGACCTATCCCACGCCTTGAATTTCTGGGTTTTCTTCTTAACTTTGTCGACCGCCGCGTGGTTCATGTGTAGGGGGTCTCCTTGTATTCCTCGGGGTACTGGGTTTGGTCTTCGGTATATATTTCTCGATCAAATGGTTCACTTTACCGGCTATGATATTCAGTGTAGGGTCTGCGTTCTTATGCCTTAGTGAGTCAGGCCAGTGGATACCCCTTATTTCATCCCTCATCCCGTCGTAATTTCCCTTGTAATATTTGCACCTTAGCCTGGTTTTGTCGTGAACTAAGTAACATGGACAACATGACATGGTAGCTGGTGCCAACTGGGCAAGATGTTTCAGTTTGGCCAAATTATCCTCCTCGTTTGTTATGATGAGGTCCAGTGGCTTGGGCGTTTGCTCCGCTCTGTAATGCGTCGGGTCTTTAACATGTTGAACCAGAAAATTATATCTCAGAGTTTCTACAAAAAAGAATAGCGTGGTTATTTAAGTCATTTGGCGTGAACCCATTACTTCAGTCGATGTCGCCATAGTTAAAGTCCCTCGTCATAAGGTGGCTAGGGTTGAGCATCGCTGCGTTGTCTATCAGGACTCTTAACTTCCTTTGGTTTGGTAAGCTACAGTACAGTTAAGCTACAGTACAGTTAAGCTACAGTACAGTTTGGGGATCTGTAGACACACCTTGTTTTAATAATTCCATGAACATCGCCAACCAATCATTTATTACTACTGTGAATCTAAAATTGAAAATAAAACAAAGTCAACTTAAGAACAACAATTTTATAATAATTGTTATTAAGTTACCTTAATTTAAATTAAGTTTAAAATATTTAATTTACTGTAAAAAAAAAATCTTGGTTGTGGTGGAAATAGAAAGAAAATCTGGTTTGGATATTGGTGGTTAAGCGATGGAAATAATGACGATGGGACAATTTTTCCTTATTAATCTTATATTTTAAGAATATTTAGGTAGATTAATTATAGAGTCAACATTATAGTATTAATAAAGATTTGTATTAATATTACATTTACACCTGCAATGCCTATAGAAATGCTTATATGGCGGTAAATAACGCTCCATCCATACCTCTCGGATCTAGAGTTCAGCCGAAAATTTAACTTCATCAATGGCATATACCTTTATTAACTTTAATTTATCCTTTTAGACACTTACAATGTTATTAATTGATAGTTAATCCAGTTCTCTATATATCAACACACGTTTCCTGTACTTTGTGAGGGACGTCTCCTTCCTCAACAGTTTTACCAATGAGAAAAAAATTTTGTTATTCAATTCATTTCATTCTCACATGCATCATACTAAATGATTCTTATATAATTGTCCCCTTATATTTTTTACTAGATAAACAAGTCATAATTTACTATTATAATTAGAAATTAAGTAACTTGTGTAGAATCAATGGTTTATAATTGTTTTATTTGATATCAAGATGTTGGTAATAATGTGTCCCGGAGACTCTTAGAGAGATGCCCTTCTGTCAAGACTGTTGTTAAGTTAGTATTATATTTGTATTATATTTAGTAATAACTATAGCGTAATGGTGGCAGATGGAATGACACCAAAGTTTCTAACACAAATTCGTGATATGTGTTTCAGTAGGTGTTATGTGTTGTCAGCTTGTATAAACAGACAGAATGGTCGTAGGTTTAAGGACTTTAAATTAACAAAGTACAGTACCTTGCTTAACTAAAGGAATTCAATGAAAAGCACATTTTAGGCTGTTTTTGGATCAATTTATGATAGTAGCCAGTTGGCAGTGTAAGTTTATGAGCCACACGGATCGGACGGCTACTCTAAAATCCCCCCCAAAACCCGTAAACTTGCGCCATATAGTGTAGTACCCAGTAAGTTCTTTCAGTTTAATAAGCTGGGGGTCCAGAGGGTTGAGCTTGACAGCTAGGAAGTTAGTTCAGGTTTGGTAGGTTTCTTTGGTTAGGTTGGTGAGGTCTTCTAACTGCTTCTGCCACTTGGTTTTTCTTATCAACTAAGGTTGGGTTAGGTTTAATTTAGAAATAACCACCTTTTAACACATTTTCCATAAATACGACAGTGGCCACTATAAAACATAGTGAAATTGCAGTGTTTTTAAATTATTTTTCAATGAAAAAACAGTGAGTATAGTAAAGCACCAGTCTCTCTCTCGCTGTTATTAATATGTTTTTCATAATGCGACTCCTATCTTCAAGAAGGGTGATCGTCACTCCACAAACAACTATAGACCGGTGAGCCTGACCAGCATAATATGTAGAGTACTTGAGAGTATTATCAGAGATGTCACGATGAAACATCTACTACAAAACAACCTTGTAAAGGATTACCAACTCTGTTTTATGCCGGGGCGCTCCTGCTTAATACAATTACTCAAGGTACTGAATATTTGGACCCATATTCTGGAACGGGGTGGTAATATCAACAATATTTACCGAGATTTTGCCAAGCTTTCGACAGTGTACCCCACGAAAGGCTGAAAATCAAACTGGAAGGGTACGGAATTCAGGGAAATGTCTTAGTGTGGATAGAAGACTTTCTACATGACCGCAAGCAGTGTGTGGTGATTAATGGCACGAAATCATCATCCGTACCTGTCACAAGCAGGGTATCACAAGGCAGTGTATTGGGCCCGCTGTTGTTTGTTTGTTTCATAAATGACATGCCTGACGTTGTACACTCCTCCATACAAATGTTTGCCGATGACGCCAAGTTATTTCAGGAAATCAAGAACCAAGCAGACTGTGAAGAGCTGCAGAAGGACGTCTGTAGACTCCAGGAATGGTCGAAGAAATGGCTGCTGAGATTTAATGTCACGAAGAGTAAGAGAATGCACCTGGGGCTTACCAACGGTAAGGAGGATAATCATATGTCCCAGCGGGATGAAGAAACTGCACTATTTGAGACTGAATGTGAGAAGAACCTAGGTGTGTATGTTGACAATGAGGTGAAGTTTTTGGGCCTTTGTCAGAAAAAGGTAAATCAGGCAAATAAATTATTGGGTCTTATGAAAAGGTCGTTCAGTTATCTAGACGGTCCGTCCCTCGTAACGATCTTCAGGAGTGAAGTGCTTCCCCATCTGGAGTACTGTCACCCCGTCTGGTCCCCGAGATATGCTAGGGACTGTCAGTCGATTGAAAATGTTCAAAGGAGGGCCACCAGACTGGTGCCTGCACTTCAGCACCTCAGCTACCCTGAGAGATTGGAGCGCCTTAACTTGCCTAGCTTATACTACAGATGGGCAAGGGGTAACCTAATTGATTTGTATAAGCATCTCAAGGGGCACTACTCAGTCGAGTGTTCTTACTTGGAGCTGGCGAACACTCGCCCCACAAGGGGTCACAGCTCAAGATTGAAGAAGCCACAAGTCCAGAAAACTGTGAGGGCAAACTTTTTCGGAGAGAGGGCTGTGAACTCTTGGAACAATCTACCAGAAAGTGTTGTGACGGCACCGAGTGTGAGCTCTTTCAAGACAAGACTTGACCAACACAGGAGCGGGTTCAGGTACATTCAGGAGCCGGTGCATGCTCAGTACTTGCCAACAGTGCGTGATAGAGACGTGACCGATCTCCCAAGTGGCTAACGAGCTGATCATTTGGTGAAGAGGATAAAAGAAAAAGAAAAGTAACAGAGATGTGACTGATCGCCCAAGTGGCTAACGAGCCAATCAGTGATAAAGAGGATAAAAGTAAATGTATAGACATTTCTAAGACATTTTTCTTCTATGATATCTCTGCCAGAAAATAAGGATAACCAAGTTATTCATTTTCCAATATTATTATATTTGGTCAGTCACAAGTGTCACCATTTATTGTTGACATCTGGTGGAGAAGTTTTGACCCTTCCCTCCTCACCCAGCGCTCCTTACTTCGTGTTGTCTTTTTAAGCGTCTACAGCGCATGTGCGGGGGTGGTGTGAAGTACCTTATTGGCTATAGCAAGAGGAGACTTAAGGCTTTTTAGATGCACGGAATAGCTAACACATTAACTATTCCCGGATTGTCATTAAAAAATGCGATATTGTACCGCGTCTTGGGAATAACTATTGTACAACACAGTCTTCAGAAAATAATAAAATTAGGAGATCTGTTATTTGGACACAAAATGGAAAGAAATAGTGAAGAAAATATATAGAAAATTATGAAAAGAAAGACAAAAAAGGAAAAAAGTCAATCAGTCAACAATAAATAAGAATAACACAAAAAATCGGGCCCGCTGTTCAGGTAATTTCTCCCAGATTCTGAAACCACATGTAACAATCAGAGCAGCTCCTCCACGGACCATTAAGCTTCTCTCGTGGCTAGGTGTTGGCATATATTTCCACTAAATATAACGAATTTCAGGTTCGTTTAAGTCTTAATTTTTGCACTTACAGAACTGTAATCAACTTATTCACCCTTATTTAAAGTATCTTATGAGTAATGATATTAAAGTTTTGATCATATTTGAGTAATTATCAATATTGTTACACCAAAGTCACCAATAGTGAATGAAATCGGACAGCGCCCACTTAAAAAGGGCGGAGCCAAAACAGGTTTCAACTAGGCGCAATCCTTTTCAATTCTTTCACACCATACGCTTTGTTTTAGGTCCTATCCAATATACTTCTGTATATTTATTATTATATCACAACTTCTTACTGCCTTACATGCCTCCAACTCTTCAATATTAATCAAAATATTCTCCATAAGCAGCCATGATCCGCGTATTTTCAGTGGGAGAAATCGCTGATTGGTTGCTAGCTATTCGGGCGCCTCACATGCTAACGCCTGATCAAGGGATTTGCTTTTCCTTCTCAAGGTTCTCATGCGCACAACTCAACAGAAGCATTTGCACAAACAGAATAGCTGTAGCGTTATCTATTTATTCTGTGCATCTAAAATGCCTTTTCTTCATAATATGTATTTTGGATGGTTGTGTGCATGTAACTGAGTAAAAATAAATGAAGAAAGTTACGTATATCTACCTGAAAATACGAGTTGAAAAACACATAACACCTCACTGCTTGTCCCATTATCCTGGTGGTTACAATGACAGACTAACATAGCTACAAAGCCATGATTAATCACTATTAAACACTATTCTATCAGTAAACACTAATAATAACAGTAAATCTAGTGAAATATGGCAGGGAGTGAGGAGAGTTACAACTGCAGATGGTGCTGTAACTAGCAGTCACTCACTTCCTTTATCTGCTCCCATTGTCATGTGTAGCCAAGCATATGTATGGGAGAAATGCATGACCTTTATTTGTTTGGGCACCTTCCCTTGGCTGGATGAAGGTGGTTGAGGGAGCCATCACAAGCACAAGGAGCACAGTTGTTATGAGAGCAGAGTAGCACACGCGTTAAACGGACAAATGTTTAACCCGGACTGAGGCGAAGTGAACGAGTATGGCCCAGCTGCCTGGGATGCCATAAAACTCACAGGTTCCCCATCCCAGCCGTAAAAATGGCGCCAACTTTAAATTTACCCACAGACATTCTTGAGTACATCCAGGGTGTCATCCGCGAATAATCAAAGACCACAAATTAAAAATCTGCGAATTGTAAGGGCATTCTGTATAAAGGAAACAGCGGCTCCTCAACCCAACATCGAGACATGGCTTTCCAGAAGTGTTTTTTATTCTCTATCTACTGTACTAGTGAAGTCTAAATGTTTCCTGTAATGTGTGATTAATTGGTCTTTGAGGTCACCATTTTTTTTTATATGAGATAAATGTTGAAGCTTTTTTGTAGAATATACTGTACTTGTTTTTAAGTACTACTGTACTGCTCTGCATTTTGGTCTTGTGGATTGGTGATGTATTTGAAAAAAATTTCAATAAATTTCATTGTTTGTGAACTTTTTTGGATTGCAGGATTCCTCGTCATGATTACACCTGAGAATTTATCAGTATTTGGGAAGGAATTCTTGGCTTGTTTGCTCGGTGTTCGTCCAAATCCAGATCAAATCACCGTTTTTACTGAAGTTGCTAGAAAAGGTAAGATATACAGGTACAGTACATGTATCCAGTGTATTGTATAATTATATTATAAAGTGCTCACACTTTTTAGTATCCACATGCTATTTTTTTTTTTTTTTACATATCAGGTTCATTACTGTATTACTGTATAGCCAACAATATACTGTACAGTATACAACACAGTTTTTTTGTTAGAGAAATTTTTTCCGATTAATGGCCATTTGATGGATATTGTTAAATTGAGTTGTTTTGATTGTATTGTACAGTATATTGTGAGATGGTCTTAATTTATAACCATCGTTGAAGTGGAATATCGCATCCTGGGATATCGTATCACGAGGTTTACCTGTATACAGTATGTACTTTAACTTCTGCCCCCCCAAAAATGTAAATTGATTTTCTTTTAAATTGGATCCCATTGTCCAACAGATTCTCATTTTAAAAGCTGAGATACTGTACATTCCTGCAAAAAACAACTTCCCCAAAACATCAAAATATACTAAAAAGTCATGTTCTTAAAGAACATTTGTGGTGTACACAATGATTATTAACCAGTAATAAGAATAATAAGTAAAATGCATGCAGTACAGCAATAAGTTATTACTTAAAAGAAATGTTTAGTGATATCAGTGTGTTGTACTCCCTCATTAAATTTACATAGGATTTCCAATTTAGTTTATGAATTAATTGCCTTCCAAGCTTTCATAGGCTTTCACCATTATCACTTCCACTAACAGTTAATTTACCCGTCATTTTGGAGTTCAGAGTAGAGAGTAATCTGAAGCAATGTGAGAAGAAAATGTCTTGTGTGGCTTAAACAACAAACATGAGGATACTGAGAGACATGTGGAACAACATGAGAAATGCTGGTAACAATATGAAAATCTAAGCCAATATCTATACTAAGTAATCACTCTTGGCTATTATTATGAAGTAATATATAATAGTTAATAATACAGCTCCTCCCCGGCTTACGAGGGGGTTAGGGACCCAAATCCAGGTCGTAAGTCGGAAATGCTTAAATAATACATAGAAAATCTAAAATGGGTGTCTCTTTTTCTTCTCAGCACCACAAAACACCCCCTTTGAGCTTGCCAGCCATTTTAAAGTGAATTACAAACGAAAAAAATTTCTGTGTACTGACTTTGGGACTCGAAAATACGTAATTTGACCAAATTTTGGTACGACTGAGGCAGGTCGTAAGTGCGGGTGGTCATAAGTCGAGTAGGTCGTAAGTCGGGGAGGAGCTGTATATATAAAATCTTTGGAATACACAAGCAAAATATTTTAGTGTGGTCACTGTTTGAGTTTGTCCTAACTTCAAATCACTGATACTTTTTAGTTAAATTGTCTTTAAAAACTGACCTGGCCTGATAGTGGAAGCACTGGTATGCCTATGTCAACACCTTGGCATCTTGTGGTGCTGCAAAAAAATTAAAAAAATACAGTAGACCCCTGTCATCCGTGGGTTTGTGAATCGCGATTTCGACGATTTGCAGTAAGCAGATGGTGGCTATGGTGGCTAGATTATAAGCCTTTTCCCGCAGCACAAGGAATTACCCCACGCAGCTTTTCATGTTGTACTCTCAAAACTTTAGTGTTTCTGCGTGAAATGGACCCTAAAAGACTGCCTAGTGTCAGTGCTAGTGATGCTAGTGGAGTAAAATGTAAAAGGCAGAAGTCAGTGATACCCTGACAAAGAAAGTTTTATTATTAGATAAGTTAAAAGAGGGGATGAGTGCTGCCACAGCTGGTCAGTTGTTTGGTAATATAGGTAAACAGTAGTGCACTAAAGTAGTACAGTATAAGTTGCTGTTCATGGTTTTGCCAATTCACGCCATTTCTTGGAACCTATCCCTCGTGAATGGCAAGGGTCTACTGTAGAGAGAGAAAAATTTTAACTGGTTTATCGGGGGTCCCCGACTTATGAATGCCTGTTGATACAAACGGGGTTAAACTTGAAATTTATAGTATTTTATTTACCTGATGATGTAATTTTTACTTTCATTTACTACATTTTGTCATTCTATTTCTTCTTTTGTCTTGACCCTTTCACCGCGTCGGCCAATTTCGGCAGTATCCCCAATAAGTGCCAAAAGTCACTAAAAAATTCAAATGCTTACGTTAATGTTTTAACCTTTTTTTTAGTGACAAAAACGTGAGGAATCCATATTTAACAATTAAAATATAGAGGGTAAATTTACAATATTGTGGGGAAAACTTCAATTTTTTTTCTGTGTTCATAATAATGGGCAATATCATAAGTAGATATGTCAGATAGTATAAACTGCAATGATAAATAGTTTATCTTTCATTGAAGTCACATAATTTTATATTACTGACCATTATTCATGTACACTGTACATTGAAACCCTATATCTTACTGGCAAATGCAAAAATCACTTGTGCACAGACGAGAATGTTAGTGGGTAAATGAAATAAAAGATCGGAATAGACTAGTTACTTTATTGCACTTGTTATTTATTGGACTAGAACACAATATAAATTAAGATTACAAAGATGAAGTTGATTGTAATACAGTATAGTCTGGATTTACGCGGTCAACTGAACCCGTGGAAGTCCGCGTGAAACGAGAAACGCGTAAACGAAATAACAGAACATATGGGATTAATTGAAATAGAGACTGGGCCGACCCCAGACTACCCTTTTTCTGACACAATACGTACGTTGTAGTAAAAATAACATCTTAATTTTATGATGGTATGCACACACAATTTATATTTAAGAGAAATATCAATAATATTAGGTTTTTAACACTTACGTTAGTAGAAGAATTGGCTGGGCACATGGGGATGGGGGGTTGGTTCCAAGGCAGAGGGCAGATTATTGGCCCTCACCTGTACACACTTGTATCAATTGTATCACTATCCACCACAGAGGCTTGCAGGGCCTCTTTGTCAAACCCCTCGAAGTCCATAACCTCACTATCACTGACATGGACTGGCTGTGGTGGGTGGCGGGTGAAGAACTTCGTAATGTTTTGTTGACTGGGCGACCTAGTGCGCACCCTGCCAGCGCCGCTTCCCGCGTAAATGTTGGAATGTACCGCATAACTAATAATTGCCGGTCTGGCCAGGCGCCGCGTAAATGACCAAACACGTAAAGGAAATCCGTGTAAATCCAGACTATACTACAGTATATGGAAGTAAACTCCTTTGGGAATATATGTAGGTAAAGAATAAATACATATACACAGTACAGTGATATCCTCTCTCAAAGCCGGAAAAAAATCCCTCGTCCCCTGAATTTTCCGGGTAACAGAAAAATTTTCTTGTAAGTTCCAGAAAATGCACCTGATTTTCATCTCTCAAACCCGGAAAAAATCCCCCATCCCCGGAATTTTCCTGGAATTTTCCGGAAAATGTGCCCCTCGGTAAATCGTTTCCTGTAAGTGAACTATACTTGACTATACTGTATTTCCATATTTCAAGAAGTAGTTGATTATTAATGCTAGTACATATTTTGTATTGCAGCGAATCACGAATATGCTGTACCCGGAGACATCGTCTTACCTCTCAAGTCTCGTAAATGGATGGCTACGATTCCCTTCACCTCCACTTTAGGCCATTTCCTTAATTTTCCAACAGAGGAGAATCTGAAGGTAAGACAGTATTTAAGACTGTTATAGAACATTGCTTAATACAGTCGGCTCTCGCCAATAACGACTTCCACAATAACGTTTTCGACAATAACTGTAAGTTACAATAGATACCCATTTTCGATAATAACGTCTAGATTCTCTTGAATAACGGAGATTTCGCGGGAAGCATCCGAGCGCATCAAAGATAGCGTTTGTTTGCCGCCATGTTGATGACGTAGTTGTCCGCTCCGCCTCACTCTCACTCACGCTACGTGGAATACAGCGCTGCGCCCATGTGTGAGATTTTCGCCTCTATAACCAGTGGTTGCTAGGGTCGGTGATCAATAATGGCTTCCGCATTTTTGCCTGTGGGGGCTAGAGGAGATGGTGGAGGGAGTGATTTGCCACCTGAATGCCCAGGAACTTTTAAAGTGAGGAAATTGAACTGTCCTGAGTCTACAGTGTGAAATTTTAATAGGAACTTAGAGGAGACCAAGAAGAGTATTGCGCTGGCTAAAAATATTTCGGTTGTGATGGAAATACGAGGCGAGCTATGAATGATAAAGGCGATAGAAGCAGGTTGTTAGTGATAACAGCATTTTCCTGTGAAATGGTTAGCCTGTAGAATGAAAGACAGTGCAAGTGTTAATGGCCCTCAGATATGGAATAACCATCACACCAAGCACCTCAAAAACTCCCCCAAGCTAAGTGTTATATTACTCAAACTCTTTATTTTGATTATTGAATAACAATTCTTTTTATTTCAGCTAACAAAAAGTGTTAGGGGGTTTCTAAGGGGAAAAAATGGGTGAAATTCTTGGCGCGGCGGCACCAATAAACCCTTTTTACATGTATTTTAATGTCACAGAAATAACGTTTTCGCTAATAACGGTGTTTTTCAGGCACCTATTAGACGTTATTGATGAGAGCCTACTGTACTTAATTTTGTTTCTCCTGCAGATCTTTACTCTAGAGCAGTGATTTTCAACCTTTTTCATCTCACGGCACAGTGAGCCAGGCACTAAAATGGTCGAGGCACACCATCAGTATTTAAGGATAGATTTGATCATTTAAAAGAAAATGAATGATAAGAATGTGTTCATAATTTAAAATCTCATAATTTATTAATTTTATTGCCAAAAGTATATTGTTGATCATGGTTTTCAAAATAATTTGAAAGTTTTGTTCATATTTGATTGTATTCAAATACAAACATGAGTAAAAATAAAAGGCCTTTGCTTACATAAAAATATCAGTGAGAAACCTGTACGTACTTAGTGTTGTCTCATGATGTTCCTTGTCCGAGGTCGAATGGTTGACAGGCATGCCCCCAAGTCCTCCTCCAGTGTTTGAAGCCATGACCTGTTCTTGCTTTTCATTGTGTTCATAGCAGAGAAGCCAGCTTCACACAGATACAATGTTGAGAAAGGAAGAAGTGCTTCAATTGCCTTCTTTGTAATGATGGGGTATTCCTCTCGAAGGGACAACCAGAATGAAGTCATATCTGTTGATAGGTGCTTCAGTTCCAGTCCTCTGTCGTTTCTGATTTCCGTCAGCTCATCCTCTGCAACAGTTAATCCTGCTGACTCGCACGCACTTACCACAAACGGATCTCTCACCCAGTCCAAGGAAGATACATTAAGTGATGGGAAATGCTTTTCAATGTTTTTACTCAGTAGCGACAAACTTTGTAGAATTAATCTGACAAGATTTTTGTCCAGTCTGCAACCTTTTTTTTCAGTTCAAACATTTCAACTTTGTTCCCTTTTTTTATTCTGGCTCCTCACAGTGTTAGTTTTTCCTTAAAAGAGCTAACTTTGTCAGTACAAGTCAGAATATTTTCATTCTTTCCCTGCATATTCTTATTAAGAGTGTTCTTGGCTTGGAATATATCAGCCAGGAATGCAACTTCATTGCACCAGGTTTCATTACTAAGCAGGTCAGCCAGCTCAGATTCTTCTGATGTCAAAATATAAAAGCTCCTCCCTTAGTTCATAAAACCCTTGAAAGCAGCTGCCTCGAGACAACCACCTCACTTCTGTGTGTAGTAGAAGTTGTGTGTGAAGCAGATTCCATAGCAGAAACAGTGTTGAAAACAACCTTGATTTTAATGGCCTACTTTTGATATAGTTAACTATTTTGATCGTCTCATCTAATACTTTCTGGAGCTCAGGTACTACTGATTTTGAAATGAGGGCCTCTCTGTAGGAAACAGTGTGTGAAAACAATGCAAGGGTTCTTTATGCGCTCCATAAAAGTACCAGTAATGTCAAAACGTATCCAAATGCTATTTTTAAAATGCTATCCAAATGCTATTTAAACTCCCGGCACACCTACAGATGCTTCTCGGCACACTAATGTGCACGGCACGATGGTTGAAAATCGCTGCTCTGGAGTCTAAGGAGAAGGCCATGACAGAAGAATATTTATTATTCCCTGTCATCACATTTATCTTTTTGCTTTTTTGTTCTCTATACCTTCCCATTCTCCTCTTAATGTAAAAGTTCCTCCCACAATGAAGGTTGCCCCCCACTGCATTACCTCAGTGCACTTTAGTTGTTGTTTAAAAATGTTGCAGATAATCAGATATTTTTCCATTGATAATTGTTATGATTGTAAGTGTCCTATCATACCCCTTACTTGAATGTGATGACTCTTCCGGAGGGGTTTTTGATTTTCATTAATCTTAGTCATTGCAATATACAGGTACTAGTTTTCCCAAGAGGTCAGATGAGTTTGTTAATGAACATAATTCAGATACAGTAATAATAATTTTGCTTCTATTGTGTATTATGAAATTTACAGTTATAATGTAGGGTTATGTGATATTATGTCGTCTAGCACTCAGGATGGATGGATGGAAACTCTAGGTAGTGGTTTTCTTATATAAAATATATTACATGAAAGACAGTCTGGTGCTGGAGATGCCGTGTGGTGAGAGGCTTGCTCAGAAGACACGTTCAGTGAGTAGCGTGCTTGAGGAAGTATCTGTGCAGGAGCTTAGTTAGAGATGTTGCGTGTTGCTGTCCTCCAGGTTGAATGAGGGCTGGACAGCGAGGACTTTCTTGGAGGAGGTGTTGCGTGTTCAGGAGCGTGAGGCCAGAATGAATCTCAATGGAGAGACAGAGCTTATATACCGGCAGCGGAAGTAAACCGTGAGAACTCGCCGGTTTCCTGACCTCCGTTGCTAGGAAGACGTAGTGGCGATCCCCCGTGTTGTCTAGGATACTGTAGCAGCTGGTGACCCCCTGAACAGCTCGCTGGTTGCTAGGATACTGTCGCATTGGAATGCAGATACGCAGTTGTAGGGAGAGATCCACTACAATAAGCTTAATCCAATTTTTAGCTTCAGAAAAAATATCATATATATATATATATATATATATATATATATATATATATATATATATATATATATATATATATATATATATATATATATATATATATATATATATATATATATATATATATATAGCTAGACCCCGACTTTACGACAGGGTTAGGGACTAAATCAGGTCTTAAGTCCGACACAGATTTAAAAAAAAAAAATTAAATAAAAAATCTACAATAAATACAGTACAGTAAAAGTAATAAATAATGAGGAATGGATACAGTGTGACTGAGCACTTACCTTTAATGTAGTCAGCTGAATGCACATGGGGCCCCATAATTTTCTAATTATACATGGAGACTACATTAACTGGAAACGGCTTCGGTATAAGAGTACGTGTGTCATTTGGAAAAAAAAAAAAAAATGGTCACAACTGCGGCGGTCATGTAAGTCGAAGCAGTCGTAAGATCAGGGTTAGCTGTTTATATATATATATATATATATATATATATATATATATATATATATATATATATATATATATATATATATATATATATATATATATATATATTTATTTATTACCAGGGAGTCTGAAATGTGTGTGCATAAGAGGGTCTGCTACTGTGATGCTGGGTCCTAGAGTGTTTAACTACTGTACGTATATTGTGCACTGGGACAATAATCCAACACTCCATAATTATTTTTCTCTTACAGTTAATAACATCAGCTCTGTCTTCATGCAATGCCTTAATAGAAAAAGTATGGATGACACAGGATCTGTTGTGTATCAATTTGGACAGAGAGAAAATAATATCACAAGTTATCAACAAACTGGCAGCTGTTGGGTTGAATTATGGAGCTACTACATTGCTAGAAAAGGTAATGGTTTCTCTTCAGTGTGTATATATACAGTATATGTATATATATATATATATATATATATATATATATATATATATATATATATATATATATATATATATATATATATATATATATATATATATATATATATATATATATATATATATATATATATATATATATATATATATATATATATATATATATATACAATATATATATACAATATATATATATATATATAGATAAAATCACACGGGAAAAGGGAAACAACGGAGCACCTTAGCTTTCGTCTTTATTCAAGACATCTTCAGAGGCAACTGGATTACATGGAGAGAGAGAGGCTTAAATATACAGGGTGACCTTAAAAACATGAGGTTAGGTCATAATGATGTCATCCACTAATCCCCACACCAACACACCCGTAGAGGAGCTTAAGAGAAGGGGGGTGACGTGACTAGTCAGGTCAGGTCAAAAATAAGGGACCCACTAAATAACTATCATACATCTAGATCAAAGGTTTTCAAAGCATTTTTAACCTTGGGCCACTGACAAATAAATTTATGTAACATATTATCAGTTTTGAACTGACCATCACTAAGGTTTATTGATTTTAATTCCCTAATCAAACTAGCTTCAACCAGAAGTCTTTCTGTGACACAAGATGATTTAAATATTTCTAAGCTTTTTTCCCAAGCAATGGGATGATTATTATTCCTAACATGAACGAACAAGGCACTGCTTTCAGATGCTGTTCTGATATTATACTTATGTTGTTTGATTCTGAGCTGCAGTGTTTTTCCTGTCTATCCTACATAATTACAATAAACACTTCCATTTACATTCAAACTTGGGCTATTTCTTATTAACATATTGGTAATGGTTGAGTCATACTTGAAAACAACATTAATATTTAGAAGCTTGAGGGACCGAACTAACGGGACAAATTCATTATGATAGGGCAGAGTCAAAATATTCTTAAGTGTAGGAATTTGCCTGGTTTGAGAGGAATGAAAGGATTTTTTAGCCTTTTTAAAACAACAACCAACAAACACAGAAGGGTACCCGAGTTTCTGTGCAATGGAACGAATGTGTTTCAATTCATCGTCAATAAATTCAGAGTCACAAATACGCAGACATCTTAAGAACATAGCAGAGAAAACTGACATTTTGGTAGACTCCAGGTGATTTGATAAAAAGTGAATGAAACTGTCTACCTGTGTGGGCTTTCTGTCGAAATGTTTTGAAAGCTTGCCAATATCATGGACATTTTGAAGCCATATGCACTTCATAATAGGAGATATTCTGAGGTCAGTAGTAATTACTTTTTTCTATATGCAAAAATGCCTGAGTGCAATACTGCATTAACGAAAAAGTATTGTAAATAAGAGAGGGTCCGTTGCTCCTGATTCTGACCAGAAATGGCATGTAAAAATTTAAAGATAACACTATATTAAGTTGATTATTTACTTGTTTATTTATTACAGACTGTTTTCACAATCCCCAATGATATCAAGATGGATAATGAAGAAAAGGAGCTCTTGGACAAGATGCGTGCAGTAAAACTTCTCTCACATATATTGAATATGATAACATTTAGTGGTGGTGAGGTGATACTAAAAGATAAAGACAAAATAGATCACAGGGAAAGAGAAGCATTGTATGACAGGATACTGCATCACGAGTCTTACATGTCACTGTTGGGAGATCTACTAGTTGATGAGAACACAAAACATAAGCCACGAAAACAAAAGAAGAGAAACCGTAAAATTTCACGTGTAGTGAAAGTTACCAATGTAAGAAAAATTGTCAAAAATTTTCCTCCAGAAAAAGGTATGTCTAAAGAACTCGTTGAAAAATTAAGATTCCTGAGGCGAAAAGCAAGAAAACCAGAAGGTGTAAAGTACAGACAAGGGTCTTCAGAGCCCACTAAAGATGGGATGGTCATTAAGAAAAATAAGCCAAGGCAAAAGAAATCAGCTAAAACTTCTTTATTAAGGACCCTACTTGAGAAGCCTGAAGACAAAATGTCGGATAAAGAAGACAAAGCTTTAAAAAACATTATGAAATATATGAATTCACAGAAAATTAAATTGCTTGAGAAGCAGCTCAGCTCAGCAGAAACTACTTCTACACAAGAGAATCTCACCAAGGAATCTAAAGAACCACAATTAAAGAAGATTGAGTCATCATGGGTTTGTGAACATAGAATGCTGTTTGAAGACTTAGCGGTCAGATCTTTTAAAAAAAATAAACATCTTTTGGCATCTAAAACACAACCAAAGAGATCAAAGACAGAAAATACTGAAGTTAATAAAAAGTTTCCAGCCAAATTCAACACTGAAGTTAAATATATGTCCCAATCAAGTACCCCAAATCTGAATAAGACTACTGAAGAAATTAGCACAAATACCTGTAGTGATGGTGGTAGTTATTCAGAGAACTTAAATTTAGCAGATGAAACAAAGATAGAAGCATGTGAGTTAAACACAAGTCATCATGAAGATCAACTCGAAAATTGCTTGGAAATGAAGCAGGATTTGATTAAGAATACATATGAAGAAGCAAAAGAATATACTGTAAGTGATTCTGAAGAAATTATATCCATAGGAGATTACTCAGAGGATGAAGACACCACTTCCATTATCCACCTAAATATTTTGGAAGAGTCAACGGGTACAGAAAATATCCCTGGAACCTACCAATACAAGCCAGTGGTTCATAAGAAGACTGGAAAATGCTGGAATGGTTCTGCATCTGATTATTGCAAGTATGTTCCTTATTTTTTGTGCATCTACATAATTATTATTGTATAGTTATACTAGCTGTGCATCATTGCATAGGGGTTTATTTGTTCTCATGACTGATTTCAGCTGCCCTTGCTATCTTTTTTAAGCTACACTAAGCTGTCTTCTTTTAACTATACCATAACCAATCTTCTGTAGACCCAGCACTAAGCTGTCTCCTTTAAACCCTGCAGTAAGCTGTCTTCTTTAGACTCAATACATAACTGTCATCTTTAGACCCAGCATTAAGCTGTATTCTTTAGACCCAACCCATAGCTGTTTTCTTTAGACCCTGCTTTAAGCAGTCTTTTTTGAAATCTGCACAAAGCTGTTTTCCGTGAACCTTTCACTAAGCCGTCTTGTTTCAACCCTGCAGTATGCTAATCTGTCTTACTTGTTAATTGATGCCATGTGTATCTGGACAATGGCTCAAGTGATATTTTGGTGCAGTAACCAGCTATGAATATTATTGTTGAGTGACAGAAAACTTTATGACCAATCCACATTAATGCATTTGTTGGTAAACGTTTGGTAAGGACTATAGTCTATTCACTGGCTTTGCATACTCCATAGACAGCAGAACTGCACCAATCCTACCTGACTGGCCATTGCCACAAGCCTGCTTCCTTTGGTTGAAGGGCAGTAGCATTATCACTGTACCGTTTTAATTTTTAACGCATAAATTTTGTAATAATGTGACTCCATAGTTCCCTGGTGGAGTATTCAGCTCTCAAACAAATGATCCCACACTTAATTTACAACCAGATATGATATTGGATTCCATCTTTGTACACTCGGCAATGAAATGAATGCTATATAATATAGTACTGTATACTGTTCCAATATGTCTGCTTACCATTGATGGAAAAACCTTTCAATAGACTGGCAGACTGGTGAAGGAGTGGAGTAACCATCTTGCTGTTGAATACTAACTTACTAAGTACAGTATTATGGGATTATCACCTGTCTGGCCATCCTGTATTATAGTAGGTAAAGACTTATATAGTGGGGACAAATATTAACTGAAAGAAGTAGAGTAGAAATACTTTTTTTTTCAGAACAGATTAAGGAAAGTTATGAGTAAATACAAGGAAAGAATTATAGCATCCACTCTTGGTCATATTATTATTACTTGAATTGTATTTCTTTCATATGCTATACTTAGTCACCTTTCTACAGAATTTTAGTGGAGGAATTGAGGCTAGCAGCTGCCCTCAAACATGGTGATGTGAGCACCCCTGAGTGGAGCAAATTCTTGGAGGAACAGGCATGGCGATGCATGACCCTACAACTACTCTCTGTCAACCACACAAACTTTGTCAAAATTGAAGTAGATGGTCATACACAAAATACTAAAGGTATGTACATACTGTGTGTCTGAGCAGCTAGGTGAGGGTTATAAGTGATGACTCTTGCTTCTGTATTTGTTTACTTATTTTTGCTATCATGTCTTCAAATAGATTCCACTTCCAGAATTATTTAAGTAAAAGAAACTGTAGTTTATCCCATAAAGTATTACTTGTAGTTTTGGTCATCACAAAATTTAACCCGATGATAGCTATCAATGAAATATACTTTACTTGTGTTTGGTGTATGTGAAACTTTTTATTTATTTTTATTTTTTATTATTTTTTATTTTTTTTTATATACACAGGGAATAGCCCACCCGGGCACAGGTCATCGACCCACAACAGGGTCTAAGGGTGAAAAAATTAGAGTAAAAAGTAATTAAAAATAAAAAATAAAAAGACTACAGGGGTATATTAATCTACACCACGAAAATGCCACAAAACCAGCTTTTTAAAGTGAGACATTGTATGAGTATGGAAACACAGAAGAATGCAGAGCATTCCATAACTTGACTATGTGAGAAAAGAAGGATGTCCTATAACAGGTTATTGTAGTGTGACCAACAGCCACAGAGATATTTTATGATATTACACACTCGTACTGTATGTTTCCAATTGCATGGAGTAAATGTAATATTTATATGCAAGCCCCCCTTCAAAATCCCATTACAGTACAGTACTGTATTTACTTTACTGAGTAAATTAGTAAATGCTATGGAAAGTAAGTCATTATTTGCCTTTCATATACAGAGTATATAGCCTCTGTCAAATGGAAGCCAAACATCCACAACATTACTAAAGCTGCTTCCCTGAAGCTGGGAATGCTGTACAGAGGCCATAGCTACTTCACTCCTGAGCAGTTGCTTCAAGTTTATAAAGGATTCATTTGTCCTAACTTGGAGTACTGCTCTCATATCTGGGGTGGCTCTTCTTCTGTCCAACTGTTAGATTGGGTGGAATCAAAGGCATTTCGTCTTAATTACTCTCCTCTTTTAGTTGATAATCTCTCTTCTCTTTCTTTTCATCACAATGTTGCTTCACTCTCTCATTTACAGGTACTTTAACGGGCAATGTTCAGTGGATTTGGCATCCTGTGTACCCCCGGGAAGCCCGTGGGGTCGTAACACTCATCTTGCCAGCAGTGCCCACCGTTTCTCTGTGGATGTCGGTCACATTAAAATGAACTGTTATAGTACATCCTTCTTTCCTCACACAGCCAAACTCTGGAATGCTTTGCCTTCTTCTGTGTTTCCATACTGTTACAATCTGTCTCACTTACAAAAGCTGGTTTTCCGTCATCTTTGTGGTGTACAGTAGATTAATACAATCTATTTCTCTTCTGTTTTTAATTTCTTTTTACTCTTATTTTTTCGCTCCCCAAGCCCTGTTGTGGGTCGATGACCTGTGCCCAGGTGGGCTATAACCCATAGAAAAAAAAAATACATAAATAAAATCGATAAATCCTTTTTTTTTCACGTGGCCTCCAGCCTCCCCCAATAACCACATCTTCGCTGCCATTTTATTACCTTAAAATTAAATATCCTATTACTGTACAAAAGTAGCTACCCTAGCTGGGTTGAGTTAGTTGAGCCGCAGATCTAATAATAATAATAATAATAATTAACGGTTTATTGAAAGAGCTTGGCAGCCAGAAGGCTGAAAATCTACAGTATTATGCAGCATTCAGTGACTGTTGCCTCATAGTCAATGTCTGCGACCGTTGTCGGCTTTGGGGCTGAAAATCTCATTCCCCTGAGGCAGAGCAATGCAGACCTAAGCAGAGAGAAGGACAGTCAACTTCTCAACCAGGCTGTAACATAACTTCTGGGCTGCTGCTTCCGTTCAGATAACACCTCCGCGAGTCTGGCATAGAAACATCTTGCAATGACCTACTTGAAAAAAAAACAGATCACCCAAACAAAAAATTTGCTAATTGAAAATGTTTAGATTTTATATATTAAAACCTACTGCTGTGCCCTCTCTGTTTACAAATCTATCAATCACTTGCTTGACAATAATTATTTCCAGTTCCAGAATAATCAGAGATACAACTTAAGGCACCCAGAGCTACTAAGACCAACCCCCTGCTCTCCTCTCAGTCCCAGACCTCCATAAAATATCACGGTGTGAAGGTGTGGAACAACTTACTCCCACCCATCCGAGTAAAGACTACGCTCCCTTCCTTTAAATCATCTCTTAAAAAATACCTATTGTCTAAATATTAATATTTCTTGTAATACCTACCTTACAAACCTGCTTTTATTGTACCATCAAAACCATTTATCAGAAATTATCATGTTAATAGATAAGAAATTACCATTGCAATAAATATACAGTATTTGCCAACAAGACATAATCCTGACAGCTCTGTCCTCTTGATCAACCTTAATACTGTACAACCCATGTTGTACTGCTTCCCCATTATATTTATGTTTTTCAATTCCACTATAATCTATGTATATAGTATACTTATGATATAAATTTAAAAAATGTATATATACAGCTATAAACTTAACCACTAAAACTTCGACTGCGAGGATGCTGACTACCTCAGTTGTACCAAAAATTTTACCAAATTCATTAGTCTGACGTTGGTGATTAATATATAATAAAATTTTGTTTATAATTCCACTAAAATGGCAACAAACTTAAAGTGAGGAGATTTTTGACAATTGCGAGAAAAGAAAAAAGAACCACCCATTTAGATTTTCTATGTATTACATTTTAATTGACCAATTCAACTACGATCGGATTTGAGATTCTAACCCCGCCATAAGTCGGGGACTGCCTGTACAAGTGTTTCTTACCAATTCAATATGAATTTTACTTAGGGCAGTTTCTCTCTAACAGAGGAAGTAGTTCCTCCAGCATAGCACGCTCTATGATCTTTGATAAGAATGAGAGATTGGAGACTGGACGATAATTTGACATATTTTCAGTATCAAGAGCAGGTTTCTTCAAAAGTGGATGCAATAAAGCCTGTTTCTCAGATCGCACAAAATTGCCCTCTGCAAAACATTTGTACCTGTATATGATTCTACAAATAAAGTCTGCAGCATGTTCATAAGCGAGTGGTATGGTACCTTAACTACATTTACAGGATCAAGACAACAAAAAGTCTTCTTCGAGTCCTTGATACAATGAGGTTTATGGCATAACTTGGTTGAAATTCAACTGAAAATTCATCAATTAAAGAAACGCCATCTCGGTCATTTCTTATATGTGATATCTTTGTCATAAAAAAAAAAAAATAAATAATAAATATGAGGCAAGATGAGCATGCGAAGTGGAAGAAGCATAGTATTTTCAGACCTCCGGCCCAACAGCCCATTTATAACTGCATGCAATATTTTCTGATCACTGCCACAAGAGTCTAGACTTCTGTAACATTCAACTTTGCTTGCCCTCACTAAACAAACAACAGCTCTACACACAGTCACATACTGTACTCTGATTTCTTACGGTCTGTTCGCTACCTATGCCACTCTAGTTCAGCACTTCTATGATTCCTATGAAGAAAACTTCATAGACAAGTCATACCATGGACTGGAAAACATCATTATGTAATTTAACCATCTCATCAGAAAACAAAACAGGAGTTGACCCAGTTCAAAGAATGATCGACCTCCTGATCATTCATGGTTAGGTCAGTGTTTCTATAGTTCCTGAAGGTAATTGTTTTATCGTAAGAAGAGGGTCTTGGGACATTAAAACCAAAAGTAAACAAAGCATGGTCAGATACTGCTGAATCAATCGGGTCATCTGCAACATCTAATACACAATCACAGTTGGCAGGAGGCAAAACTAGGTCTAGAATGTGTCCAGAAAGATGTGTTGGACATAGCACAATTGACAAGATTGTTTAGATCAAGAATTTCCAAGAACTCAGAGGAAATAGATTAACTCGATAATTAAAATCACCACAGATCAACTGTCGCCTGTTCTTTCCCGAGAAAGTCTCAAGAAACAAGCCAAATTGATCCATGGTGATTTACACAACAGCAGTTCCAATAACTTGGTGATGAAGATTTATTAATGGTTCCATAAATTCAAAGGAAGAAAAAACAGTCACTGCTAATCAGTTTTATGTTGAGCAAGGCCACAGTAGGTCTGGGAGCATGGACAAGAGATTGTGTCTTGGGAAGAGCACTATGAATAATGTTCTTCTGATTCATACAACCATGTTATAGTTAAACAAAGGATATCCAAGCTAAACTCCCTCAGAAGCTCATTAATGTGACACATTTTGTTTTGGATTGCATGAATATTTAGCAGACCTACTTTTAATAAGTTCAAGGGGGGCACTACATGTTTTTTGAACAAGTAAAGTCAGTGTTTTCAATTACTTTTTTTTACATTGGGAAATCATCGTAGGGTAATCTTTACTTGATGCAAAATGACTGACTGACCTAGGTGGTTCTGCAAGAGTGGAATAATTTGCACAGCAGGATGAGGTCTTATTTGAGCATGTCATAGACTTATGACTATCTGCACAGAAGGCACAAACTGGAAAACCAGGCTTCCCAGGACAACTTGAAGCAAGGGATCGAAATTTTTGACTGGTACAATGAGTGACCCAAAACCTGTCATATCTTTGCATCTGTTAAGTCCAACATAAACATTTCCCTGAAACTTCTCCAAGGAATTTTGTACTTCAGGTGAAATTTTCATGACTGCAAGTTTACTATCTCCATTTATCTTTGTGAAAACAAGGGATTACTTGGAGCTTTTATTTAACAGTTCTAGAATTTTATTATTGTTCTCGGCAATGCCCGAGACTATTTCGTTATCAAGAAATGTAGTAAGAATACCTACAATTGTAATTTTTGGCATGATCTTTCTAAGTTCAGACACCATGAAGTCTGAGTGTGTACCAAAGCAGGAACTCATTGCTCCACTAGCCTCCTCCTTTAGCTTCTCGGTGGGAAGTCTAATAACAAGGAGCTAGTTCTTCTCTCTGCAGCTATCAGAATGGACTTCATTGCTCTCTCAACACTTCCTAATGAACTGTATGCAGTACTGTATTAAAATTTGTTCAGTTTTTCTTCGATAGCTTTCAGGTACCGCATCTCATATCATTAACAGAAGTTATCTAACCTTCTGGAATCAAAACAATATGGTTCACTTATGTTTATTTCTTTGTGGAATTGTTTTGCTTTCTCACATATCAGAGGACTAAATATGGGTGGAAAAAAATATCAAAATTGTCCATCCTTTGTCTGATAACTATATTCTTTCCTTTACAGAGTGGGCCTTCATCCTGTACAACTATGCCCGTCTTAGTATGATATTTGAGTCATTTGAAGAGTATGTGAAGAAGGAATTTGTCTCACCACTTCCTCCTACAGATGAGGTGGACTTTTCTCTTCTTAGACATGATGTAAGTCTTCACAAGAATATTTTCTTAGGTTTCACTAATTCAGTAAATAATTCTTCATTTACCTGTGAACAATACATTCCTGTACAGTTAGTTGATGTGGTGGTATATATGTTAGAGGAAGAAGAACAATTTATTCAAGACCTTTTGTAGAGGTGTTTGCTATCTATTGTCTCCAGTTATAGAATCTCCCCCATATATTTCTGCCTCAGATTTTTTTTAACCTTGTTTGGGGAAGCTCCCTCTAATTTTTTACAACACAAAGTAATATATATTTCTTTTAAATTACCCAAGATATGAAAGATGTTTATTTAATATGAAAAAGAGATGTCGTCATCACTGACAATATGTGTGGCTGGAAAAATTAAGTGCGTAGTACTTGATTGTACAGTATGTTGGGGGCTAAGCAGGCACACAGCTCAGAGGGAACATTGGGAAATGAGAAAGATAGAGGTAAAGAATTTTAAAGATCATTAATAACTGATGCTTACAGATTTAATCATTCTTTATTACCTATATTTACAACTGATGCACTTCTTGCAGGAGGAATGGATTCTTGTTTGGATGTATATTCTACGATGGCCAGAGATTGTTGAAGAAGTGGCTCTGTCTATTGTAAATGGTTGTAGGAAACTCAAGACTGCCAGTGTTACTCGGTTCCTTCACTCCCTTGCTCACCGGTTCAGTGCTTATTACAGTCGGTATCATGTCCTTGTGTCAGAACCATTGCCACACTTGGTGCCACTCATGTATGCAAGACTCTACCTCTTTAAAGCTGTTCACTTGGTAATGACAATTTGTTTCAACTTGCTTGGAGTTGATTCGCCTCCTACTTTCATGTAAATTGATGTGGAGATGATGTTTGCATTGTCAAAGGATAATACTTTTTGTAAGAAATGATATACTGTGTGCTAGTCATTTTTTGTAGAAATGGAAATTGTATTTTTATTAGATTTTTCTTATTGTATGCAGTTCAGTTTTGAGTGTTTAAACTACTGTACAGTATTTACGGTACTCTAAAAATTAACAGTAATAGACAGTATACAGTATATTAAATAGGAAATGTTAAAAGTCATTATCTATTTCAGATTGGAGAGCATTGTTATTTTGTTTGTCTTTCAATGTGTAAATGAAAATGCCATAAATTTGGGTTACTTTCGTCATGTGGTTTTTATCATACAAAATGCGAGGAGATCTAGTTGAACCAGCAACAAGTCAAATGGACCTTGATCATTAGGGTTAGGGCCTACACCTGCAACTGTTATACTGTACTCTATATCTATTATCTAAACTTGTCATGTTGATGATTACAGAACTATTTTTCCTCCCTAGAGAATGGAATTGTGTCTGTAACAATTTAAAAAATACAACTACAGTACTGTACAGTACAATTTTAATGACTACATACTATTCATATAGAATCTATAAGTTTAGTGAAACACACTTTAGTGATTTTTTGTGGAAGGTGTTTTTTATAACTACAGTAGCTATTTGCACCTGCTCAGGCTGTTAGTTTTGCTTTACAGTATTCCATATTCTTGATACCATCATCATCATCATCTCTTTGTATCTATTACCAAAACTATCTAACCCTTCGCTACTCATATTTTTTATAGCAAGTTTTGAGGGATTCATAGTCAGTTTTCAGTGATTTATAAACAGTTTCAGTGATTTATAAACAGTTTCAGTGATTTATGAACAGTTAAAGTGATTTACAGTAAATTTTGAGTTAGTTATGTTTCCTATTTTCTTCAGCAAGCTGCCCTTCACATCTTTCTTTACATTTTTCCTCTACCATATCATAATCCCACAACCCTTTGCCTAGATTTTTTGTCATACATAATCACTCCTACAAAAAACACCAGCTTCTCAACTATAGAGCTGCATCCCTCTTCTGTATTAATCAATAATTTCACTCATTTCCAGGCACAAGAACCTATTTTTATTTACTCATTTTTTTATAGGATCTACACTTAAGTAATTCTTCATTTTAATATATCATATATTTTTGCATAGAGTCATTATGGAGGTGTAAGGTCAGATGTTACCCCAACATCACCATTAGAATGGGACCCAGTTGAAAGGGGCTCCAGTCCAAAGTGATCCCAATCTTTATAGGCTAAGTTGGCTTCCGACCAGTTACTTTCCAGAAAAAGTTTATCATCATAGGAAAGGATTTTTGTTTTATATACAGTACCGTATAGTATGTTAAATGGATGAAAAGTTGCTGGAGTTTATTATATTGATTATTAAATTTTTCATAATTGTCTTTGAAAGTTTTGCAACTGATCTTAACCCATTATATACAGGTTTCCCTCTTTACAAATTATATGTTCTCCAGAAATGTTTTACACACCCCAAAATTATATTTATTTGATTGTTTTATCTTGGATAAATATTATTAAAATGGAAATATACTGTACATTCCTACAGAGAATAACATGGTCACAAAACATTATAAAACTAACTAAAACATTCTCATCCATTATTTGTATTCTTTATATTTTTTAAATTTAAGATCAATACATATGGCATACAGTACAGTATACAGGAACAAAAAAGTAATATTTAATGTCTGATGTTGGGAATACTACCAAGAGCTCACCAGTGGTCTGCATCCTGCTCCCAGGTGAGATATCCAACTATTTATGGTTCATGTACTTGTTATGGTTCATATCAGTCTGTTTCTAATAAATAAATATAATGATATACATAGAGTTTTTCATCCATGTTTGTATTAAAATAGCAAAATTTAGCAGCTGCATTAAGTACCATAAATATTTGTAAGCCATCATTTAGCCCCTTGCCTCTCAATCTTCTTTATATTTACTTTCATAGTCAAGTCATTCAGAGGTTTTGGTGACTCATGCAATCATAAAATAAAACAATATAGTACATTTGTAAAGTCTGGTCATCTCTGTATAAACAAAGTGTGAAACAGTTTCAAGTGGGTCGTGCAGCATATTCATTATTATGAATTTGTTTTCATAAATTTATATTTTTGTACCAAATTTACATATAGCATTACATTACTGCAAAATTAAATAAAAAGAGGGATATCTACCCGGTATATTTGGTGTTTTATCTACAAGTGTATCAATTGAAGAAATGCGCTACTCATTAAGTTCTTGTATAATTGTCATCAGGTTTACATATTCTAAAATTATTTTTTTTTTTTATTTAAAACTGCAAAACAAAGCAATAATAACTAAACTGACTAAATCTTAAGAATATATTTTGATCAAGTAAGGTAAGTCAAGGCAGGCTTGGATGGTTGGATTTGCCTGTACAGTACAGTACAGTACTGTACTCCTGTATTAGGTATACTATACTGGATACTGCAGCCACCATACCAGATAAGGACTGTAATATTGTTCTAGACATTTACAAATTTTTTTTTTTTCCTTTCTCTATCTCTTGCTGTCAAACATGGAGTTTACTTACAATTTCATTGTACAGTATAATATATTTATTTAATTTTGTACCTGTAATTAACTTATACATTTGAGTACATTTTGTGATAATTTATGTTGTTGCTCAGAGGTTGTGGTTGTAGTTTTGAAGCTTTGCGACATCACTAATGTATAATGCGTCTCCATATGCCCTGGTTTATTCATTGATCAGTTGTCCAAGTGCAAAAGTAGCCCTGTCGAGCCATCATGTAGCAATTAATTTTAAAATAGAACTTATAATGTAAAATGTGATAAGACAATGGTTTCATAGTGCTGTTAATGTGTGAGGTCTTGGCATGTCACCTCACCTGACTCCTGAACAAACTCTTCATCAACTTCAAATCCTACAATGTGCTTGGCAAGCTCAAAAAAAAAAAAACACACATGGGAATTAAGACAACAAGCATCCAGTGAGTGTCTTGTTGTGTGACTGCGTGGAGGCGAATTAAAAGATTAGCTGTCGAGGAGCTTATTGCTTGGCCACACTGGTGCATGTTACACTCCTTTCCACTCCATCTCTCTAATCACCCACACCTTTCTGTTTTCTCAATCAATATTTTAAAATGTTATGTAATGTAATGTTGAAGGGATACAACTTTGCTCATTTATACTTATCACAATCTCCCTAAAAATACTTTAGCTTTCGTGTTTATTCAAGACATCTTCAGGTATGAGACCCACTAATTCCCCACCCAAGACCTGACATTCCATCAGAAAGTCAGTAATATGAGACCACAAATCCCCCACCTTACCTCCACCTGACATTGAGCCAAGTCAGGTCAGGTCCCTCCCCAAAGTACTTCAAGTTTCATCTTTATTCAAGACATTTTCAGAAAATTCTCTCGATTTTCAACCTCAGAAAATTTGTTCCTAAAGATGGAAATTTTTTTAAAATTCCGGCTTTGGGGATGATTTTCCGAGCAAATTTCAATTCTGGCTATGGAGATTTCCGGGTTTGAGGGATTTCTGTGAAAAAGTCATAATTTTGAGCAACATATTACTGTACACATTTTGTACTCAAATGTACTACACTAAAGGACTAAAAATTTTATCTCTTGTGCAAACTATGTGATGTTTATACTCAAATTATTTGCTATCTTGCAAGGATTCCAGCAATGCAAGTTATATTCTGCTAAGTTTAGTCTGTGATATTTTATAAGATAAAAACTTGCCTAAAACTACCTTCACCCTGGTTTGGGAAAGCTTTTTAGGGGGAGGTTTCTTAGCCTAGAACCCACAAATTTTTTGTCAGAATCTTCTGAAATCCGGATTTACAGGGTCCAAATATTCGAGGGTTCACTGTAAAGGTTTGTGTTTACTTATGCCAGATACTGCCTTTTCTCACCTGGAACAAGTTTGTTGTAAATGACAAAAGTTATGGAAAGCCAAATTAAAGTGCCATATTTTTTTATGCAACTGGCATGCTCATGAGATGGCAACTTCACTTGCATGAATATAAAGGAAAAATTCTACACAAATCTTTCTAAAGGGTATTTCCTAAAAGTGTCATGGTCATGAAAGTCTGGATTAGGGAGGTTCAACCTGTTTTAGTAAATACTGTACATTACATATGTAAATATCTTTTCCATCACATTTGTACTAAACAAAACATATAACTAATAAAGGAATACTTCTTATATTGTTCTATATGTATTCCCGGATAATGGGCACTGTAAGAAATCAGTACTGTACCATATACTGTAACATGGTTCCACATGACACCACTATTCCTCATACAGTAGCAAATGAGGGCTTCATTGAGCACAGCATTAGTAAGAGCCTCAACCTCTTTAATACGCTGATTAAGAATCCAGTCAAACAATTGTACTGTACAGTATGTGGGTATTAGTCATGCTAATGATCTTTGAAATAGTTTTGTCTATTTTCTAAAGATAGTTACTGTCTTTGAATATAGGAATTTTGTATTTTACACTTAGAATCAAGGTACTTGACCACAACTAAGCAATAACTTATAATTTAAGACAATCATTTTGTAACAAAGGTCAACCTACCTCATTTTTTTTTTATTTCATGTTTGTTAAAAAATGTAACATACTTTGCAGTTGATAAAGAATACAGGTAAATTATTGTAACTAAGGTAATTAATCTTGCTTATGGTCTTGAAGAACAGGTGAAATTACATAAGGGTCATTAGCAATTTCAGTAAAGTGAAATACAGTATTCTGACCTAGATCCTCATTCTCAGTTCAGTGATATTTCTTCAAACTAGGAAGGGTTCTAAATCGTAACTTATTTTAGTCCCTGTTAGATGTTCTGGGTAATAAGTTCTATATACAGGAGAGAACACAAACACCTGTATAGTTTTGTAGGTTCGGTTTACTGGATAAGAGTATGTACACAGAGGTGGGTAGCACTGCTCCCTAGCTAAGGTCCTGGTCAACTACCATAGACGACGTATGGCAAGTGATACATTAGCAGCTTCCATACGTCGCCAGGCACATTAATTAAGCGTGTGGGATATGGTAATAACATTGCCACACGCTGCTAGCTAGGCTGAATAAATATAAATGGAGCACATACATAATATACATACATAGTACATAATCCAGCATACATAATATACATACACCTCCCTCCCCCCTATACGCTCATAGCAAAGTCTTGAGCGGACCTCTTCTTCTGGATCCGTTCTGAGCGTCGAGGGACTTCATCACTGGGAAGGGTGTGGGACTCAACACTGGTGGCGGGGCCAGCAGAAGGCAGTGTTACGGGGCGGAGAAAACGGCGGTTCCTCCACCACACGCGACCACTGGGTAACCGCACCTGGTAGTCCCGTGACCTGCCGAGACCCATGACTACGCCTACTTTGTCCCAACGTAGGGAGGTCGGGTCCTGAACACGGACTTGGGTACCGACACTCAACCTGGGGAGAGAACGGGCGTGGTCGTTGTAGCGGGCGACGACGTCCTGAACACGTTCGGCGGCTCGGCGATCACAATCCTCTGTCTTAGCCTGCCACTCCTTGGAGAAGGATTGAGGGTGAGCAGGGACACAAGAACGAAGGGGGCGCCCATACAAAACCTGGGCAGGGGAGCGTCCGGTGTAGTTGGGTGTGTTGCGGAGTTCAAGAAGACCCCGGTCGAAGGCCTCGCAGTCAATGTTCCCAGAAGGGGCCACCTTAAGGATGAGGTGCTTCAGGGATTTGACAGCAGCCTCAGCGTGGCCGTTGGACTGCGGGTAATGGGGCGATGACAACACATGCCGGACTCCCCATCGGTCAAGGAACGCAGCAAAGTCCCGGCTTGTGAACTGAGGCCCTCCGTCGGTTCGCAGGCGTACAGGAACGCCCACGTCACGGAAGTAGTGGCGGAACTTGCTGATGGTGGCGGCAGACGTCGTGTCATTACCGCCCTTGATGACAACCGGCCAACCAGAGAGACGGTCGACGATAACCAGGAAGGACTTTCCTGACACACAGAAAAAGTCGGCCGACACAGACTCAAAGGGGCGGGTGGGGTTGTCGTCACTCATGAAGGGTACCTGCTGCTGGCTGGGTTGTAATACGTGGCGGGGCTTACACACCTGGACAGCATTGGAGATGTCGGGGTCGATGCCAGGCCGGAACACAGTCTGTCGTGCACGTCGTTTGGTGGCCTCAGCTCCACGGTGACTGTCGTGAAGGCGAGCCAAGGCGTGGGGACGTGATGCAGCAGGGACAACTACCGAAGGAGAGGTGTCACTGGCCAGAGGTAGGGGTAGGGCGGCAGCAGGGTAGTTGCTGCTCCCTTCATGCACCCTGTTGGCGTAATTTACCTCGAGAATCGGTGTTGGGAAGTCCTGGGAGATGATGGCCAACTCTTGACAATGTCTGTAGGACAGCAAGGGAGTCGGGACACCATTATGCACGTCAATCCAGGCCTGACACGACCTGTTGCCAAAGGTGACATGTGCATAGAGTGAACCCAGGGCTGGGGCCATCTGTGAACCATCTGCCATGACGCAGAGGTCCTCGGGAGGCGGTCCTAGATCGCTTGGAGAGAGCCCCAAGCATCGCAAATGCTGGGGACCGATGACTGTAGCATCAGCGCCGGTGTCGGGCAACATCTGAAGACGGGATGACACACCGCCGTAGGTCACGATGACGCTGATGTACTGGGGGACTTTGGTCCTGGGATGCGAGGAGTACACCCTCCTAAAATGGGTCGGGCTTTGTCCAGGGTCGTCGTGCCTCTGATTTGGCGACTGTGGGCGGCCCTCACTGGTAGAAGGGCGCCGAAGCTTCCGCCGACGCTGTCCCTTGGGTTCGTGGGTAGGGCAACACTTGTCATAGTGGCCCAGACGACCGCACACATTGCACTGTACGTACTTAGCTGGGCACCGCACTGTGAGTGACCAGTGGCCCTTACGGTCACAACTGTTGCAGGTAGACTCAGCAGCTGGACATACCTGTGTTCCGTGCTGCTTACCACAGTTGTTGCAAAATGAACCGGGCGTGGACGTGGTGGGCGAAGGCGTAGGAGCAGACTTCTTGTCCTTCTTGTACCGGGAAACAGCGCGTACAGCTGTAGGGGGAGCTCGGATGGCAGAGGTGGCACACCTGGCAGCCTCATAGGAGCGACATATCGTCAACACATCCTGAAGAGAAGAGGAAGAGTCGAGGGAGGTGAGGCGTTGGACAAGTTCCTCGTCCTTAACACCCATCAAGATCACCTGCTTCAACTGGGTCTCCTCGCACTGCTGGTGGTGGCCTAAACATATATCTACCTCTTCCGAGGCTCTCTTAAGACGTACATAAAAAGCGTCAAAAGACTCACCCTCCATCTGTCTGCAGCTAAACAATTCCCTCCTGCGCAGAGCTTCATTCTGCTGTCCTTTGATGTGCCGTTGTAGAACGTCCAGTACCTCCTCTACAGACAGCGAAGAGGTTGGGGGTACCTGCAACGTATGTTCTAAGACACGCTGAACTTCCAAGGACAGGCACATACGCAGCTGGATGAGTTGTTTAGGCTGTGACAAACTCTGGAGATCCACCATTGTAGCATAATCAGCCCACCGCCGCCGCCATTCGCGAAAAGTCTGGAAATTTACATCAGGCTCCAAGATGGGCGGTGTTTGAGCTGCTGCTTTAGGTGGGGCTGGGGGGCGTGAAGGAAGCATGGATGAGGTATCTGAACCATTCAGTACCGAGGCAGTGTTAGAGCCAGGGGCTTGGTTAACAGTGAGGCGAGATATCAAGGCTTCAAACCGTGCACTGTCTTCCATTCTCCGTTGGTGGTCTCGTTCTGCCTCTGCTTGCCTTCTGTGCTCATCCGCCAAACGTCTGTGAGCTTCATCCTCGCGTCTCTCATCTCTCATAAACTTCATTAAGGCAATTATCTCTGGAGATAACGCTGAATGTTGAGGTGAAGGGCTGCGCGATGTTGTGGGAGCTGGGCCGGCCTGGTCATCCATCTCTGGGGGACTATCATCCGCTTGACTCATCCAGGCGCTGGGTCCACGGCTACGTAAGGCATGAGACATAACTACTTTATCTGTGTACTGTGTCTTAAATCAGTGTTGACCGGTCAGCCCGTCGTATCAACAAGATTTCAGACAAAAAAATTTAATTAAATACACAGATAAGTAGGTTATATATATAAAATATATATAAGAAACCGCGCGGTCAGCAAGTGTTAGTACATGTATGTGTGTGTGTCCCAGGCAGGCAGAGCGTCTCGCCCCAGCTGTGAGGGGGGGTGGAGGCGGCGCTGTGAGGGAGGGGGGTGGAGATAGGAGTAGCTCAGTCGCTCTCTGTAAACGGTCAGAGGAGGGTGCGCTGAGCTCTACACCCCACAAATGCCCAGAACATGCCGTATACCTTGGAAATCCGTTCGAACAAGGTCACACATGAATGGCACGAAACACACAATGCACTAAACACTTCACAGAAAATCACTGTCACTGACACTGCTCAAAGTTGCGAAATTCTTCGAGGGATGACGCGGGGTTGACCCAAGGCGGGGATCCATCAGCCGGCTTTCCACAAACTTGCACTAATCACTCGTAATAATCCAGTAAAACTACGCACTGCGCCATGTTAGATGTTCTGGGTAATAAGTTCTATATACAGGAGAGAACACAAACACCTGTATAGTTTTGTAGGTTCGGTTTACTGGATAAGAGTATGTACACAGAGGTGGGTAGCACTGCTCCCTAGCTAAGGTCCTGGTCAACTACCATAGACGACGTATGGCAAGTGATACATTAGCAGCTTCCATACGTCGCCAGGCACATTAATTAAGCGTGTGGGATATGGTAATAACATTGCCACACGCTGCTAGCTAGGCTGAATAAATATAAATGGAGCACATACATAATATACATACATAGTACATAATCCAGCATACATAATATACATACAGTCCCCATTTACAACATACAGAATATACACAGGACCAATTCTTCCAAAACAATTCACAGAACACGTGTAAGCTGAGGAGAAACAATTTCAGCCATATATAACAGATTCATTCATTTCAACAGGAGTTCATAAAAGCAATAGAAAAAAATAGTCACCAAGAAGTGATGGCATTGGAGGCTTTTCTTGTGATGACCAACACAAATATGATAGGATTGATTAATAGAAAATAACAAGATTATACAGTACAGCACATGGGCTGAAAAATTGCTACAGCATTACTTGTAGAGACATAAAATTCCACTTATGCAATCCAAATATGAAATGACATCACTGCAAACCCCTTATATAATGTGCATGAAAACAGCACAAAAAATGAAGCACTTACAATGATCATAAGAATAAACCTTCTAAATATTCTTCAAACTCTTCTTCTCTGCTCTTTTCATCTGTTAATTTAGCTGGACCTTTCCAAATGTTATCCTCAGATTCTGTCTCGTCCATTTCCTTTTCATTACCAACAGAATCACCTTCATTTGTCTCTTCTTTAATATTTTGAGCTTTTCCATCTTTTTCTTTCCTTGATTTCTTTCTCTTACTTGACTCTTTATGTCTGTGCTTGATTGATTTTGTTACTTCTTTTCTCTGTCGATGATAATTTACCTTATATGAGCAATCGTGGCACAATCCTGAAAAAGAGTGTGGAGAATTTTCAACACCTGTAAAAATAAGTACAGGTACCAGTAATTGTTGGTCTGTAAATGAATTTTAGACCAAAGGTAACCCAACTCTCTCAGGCAAACCTAACCCAACTTAACCATAAAAACTGGGACCCAATAGCATTACCGTAAGCTTTAATCTTATAGTTAGGTTGGGGCCTCACGATCACAGAAAACTAATTACTGTACAATGCAGTCAAAAGATTATTTTAAGGGGTATTCTATCACCTTCAATGTTCCCTGGTAACCATGTTTATCCATAGATCTGGATACTCACATTGGTTCTGTGATAAATTATTATATAATAGTCTATGCAAATATGTTATTTCAAATATAAAATGACATTTTAATCTTTATCTTTACACCAAAGCTACTGCACTATCGTGTTTAGATGGGAGGAGATGTGTGTACCAAGACATCCTCCCTAACTAGCGAATGAAGTGTTTAATTTTAATACTATGATACTTGATGGACTACAGTATATAAAAGTAACACTAACTCAGCTTCACCAGCGCATTCTTCTTGATGCCTTGTTCAAAGTAGCCAAAATTCATCTCCCAAGTGCGTAAACCTTCACTCTCCTTGCATTTCTTCTCCCCACAGGTAAACTGACCCTTGCCTTCCAGTACTTCTCGTTCAATCCTCCATCGCATACCAACCTTTAAGTACAGGTACAGTATGTAAGAGCAAGTATAAAAAGTGTGTGTATTAATCTCCTACCTTTACTCCTCACCCAGTTTTACATGGGATGAATCTGGGGATGTAGAAGCTTCAAGAAAGAGAAGAAAGGTACAAGAGACTAGTACAAAACAAAAGTAGAAAGTGAAAGGGAAAAGTTGAAACAATAATGTCTTAACACAAACTTCTTAAATTCTCAACTAGTAAAAAATATTATTTTGATAACTGTAAATTAATTTCTTCAGAATGTCAATAAACATCATAATGGTCTCAACTTCCACCACAAGAGGTTCAGGATTATACTTATAGTGAAGCAGAGGTGATGGGCTGTTAATTGTGTGGCAAGGGCTAGGGTAGACACTCACTCTTGTTATGACACAGGGTAAGCTTACCATTCTTATCTGGACATACTCTAAAAATTCCACAAACATGATACAAGAGCAGCATTTGTTTTTTTGGTACAGAACTTAAATGAGGTACAAGTTCCAACAAAGCATTAACTTAATTCTGTGGTATCAAAACTCCGGGATGTAATGTGTAAGGTTTGTTTATTTTTTTTATGTAATGCCACACTCCACTCTCAATTTTTAAGTCATGATAGAAGAGCTTCCAAGGTTCCATACCAACAGAGTAAGATTGATGACACTTATACTTTCAATCATATTACAAAAGGTTATATAACAAGCCTTCCAAACTTGATAAAAATTTATCTGCAAAATTACTGTACCGTATACTGACCAAGCACCCAACTCTAGAGCAAATACAGTATACTTGTGGGGTATCAATCCATAAAATGTAACTTTATGTCAATATTCTCGATATAACTACAGTACAAAATATCTAGCAAAGAACATATAAAATTCAAAGTCTCCTTCTAACATACTTTATTTTCTTTATAGTGAGATAGGTCACAGATGCAATATTCTTTGAAGAGTTTATCAAAGTATTTTTTGGCCAATTGTCTTTCCCAGGTGTCAGGAATGTCTTTGTTGTCCCACAGAAACTGGTGATTTTCCTGAATGACATCAATGTCTCTCTTGTCTCTGGATCTGCAACAACAAAGACATAAAACATAACATGAAGTGAAGACAATTAAACAAGAGTAGCCAGGACAATATATCCCTTGAACTTTTTCACACTTCGTGGGGTATATAACTGAGTACAGTGTAGAATTATATTCATTCAGTCCAAAATATGGCAAGAAATAGCTTTCACACCAATGTATGCAAAACCATTCTCATATTTCTGCTATTAGTATTTACAGAAGAAAACCAAACAAAAACATTTCACAATCAAACACAGCACGACTGCTATCCCCCCCCCCCCATACACTCTTTGAGCCTTAAGGATAAAAAGGTGAAATCTCACAACCCTTTGACACCAGTAAAATACAGAAGACCCTTGCTATTCACAGTTTTACAGTTTGTGGTTCATACCTCCAACCCCGTAAAAATAAATAAAAAAAATGGTTAGAGATACAAAAATACTTTTATATTACATAAATCACCCCTTCCCTTCTCATAATCATCCTCTGAGTGACACCATTATACCAACATAGAGACAGGTACCTAGGTGCTGTGGGTTGCTGGTTGGTCAGCTGTTTGCCTATGTAAATAAACTCAATACAATTAACTCATCTGGGAGTGTAGGTTTTTTTGGGGGGGGGGGGAAATATACAACTTTACACTGATGCTAAGATTCACTTTGTAGGATAAGAGCATGCACAGTATGTGTGGATATTCCTACTTGTTGTGTTAGCCCTTGTTGTTTTCCATACTTGTCTTTCATCACTCTCAATGATTTCCTACTTTGAGGTATCTGTACCCCATGATCCATCCAACACATAAGTGGAAAAGGAGTAATGATAACAGGTACTATACAGCTTGTAAGATGTTTTTATAAATGCAACAGATGTGAAAGTCACTTTCTACAAAATTTATAGAAAATTTTCATAGAGATTTGGTGTGGTAACATATACGTAGTGAAGATTTTCACCCAAAAGAGAAAACAGTTCAATATTTTTATGAAATAAAAAAATTTCACAAAAAAAAAAAAAAAATGAGATACAGTCACCCCCAGATGTGATGTTACCTTCTACCATGCCTCCCTTGTTCGTAGAGCAACGTCGCACAACTTGTGTGGCTAGTACAGTACAGTACAGTAGTCCCTCCATTAACGAGCACAATTGATTCTACAGTCACTCATTAACTGAAAATCTCGTTAACTGAATCTATTACCTGTACTGTATTTCAATGGGATATTGGGTAATTGGTTCCAACTTACAGAATTCCCTTAAAATGAATTAAAAAGTACATACAGTACTGTACAAAGTACTGTATACTGGAAATGTGTATTTAGGATGGTGTGTGCATGTAAATGAGTAAAAATAAATGAAGAAAGTTAGTATATCTACCCAAAAACACGAGTTGAAAAACGTGGACTAAAATGTACTACACTTTAGGACTTAAAATTTTTATCTCTTGCGCAAAATATATCATGTCTATACTGTATTCAAATTACTCATTGTCTTCCAAGGGTTCCATCAATGTAAGTTATATTCTGCTAATTTTAGTCTGTGACATTTTACAAGGTAAAACCTTTAAGCCTTCACCCTGTTTTGGGAATGCTTCTTCGGGAGGCTTCTTAGCCCAGAACCCCCAAATTTTTTGTCCGAATCTTCCGAAATCCGGGTGCAGGTTTTTTTATTTAAACCAAGACTGCACTGTATATTATCAATATGTTAACTAAATTTCAGAATGACCAATAATTTTAATGTAAAAATGTAAAAATATTCAAGAGCACAACTCTCTCAATGTTTACTCCACTGGAAACAAAGGTAAAAATAGAACCAATTATTGGCAGGCGAGTCGATCAGCTGATGCGCACACCAAAACTTGTCTCTTGTAAGGCTGTCGTTAATAGAATTTGTACTTGTTAATAGAACTGAAAGTCCTTACGGGAGGTTACTCATGAACTGAAACCTTGTAAATTGAACTGCTCATTAATGGAGGGTCCACTGTATAAGGAACTGATTGATAGGGCTGTTTCCTAGTACAATGCAGGGTACAGTCGGCCCTTCACATACGCGGGTTTGGCATACACGGATTCGCAAATACGCGGATTGCCCTGCCGGAGGAATATTCTGTACATTGAAGTAATTGAAATACATTCAAATCGCGCGCGGCACCGCGCACCGCCCGCCACCCCCACACACACACACACGCATCACGCCACCCCGCGCTCCCTCACTCAGTCAGTCTCGCTGTAACCACGCTTGTGTTGACATCAGCATTGTAGGTCGACCCTGATTTTTTTGACCAAAAAATCAGTTAATTTATGATATTCCTTGTTTATAGGTCGACCCAAGTTTTTGAGGGTATTGGTACAACAAAACCTTCAATAAAAACACTCTATGTCCTATAAACTGAGGCTCGCCGTGCCTGAAACACAGAGTGCCATAGGCAAATTGTTTACCATTTATTTTTACGACACTTTACACTGAAGCCCGGGTAGCTTCAACAAAAATATTGTATATTTCCATTCAAGTATTTATTCAAGTCAATTTGGAGGGAATATTATTGTAATACAACAGTTCTTTAACTGAAAACCAGTACTGTACACTAGTACAACAATTTTTATCTCTTGAGCAAAATATATGACGTTTATATTCAAATTATTGGCTGTCTTGCAAGGATTCCAGCAATGCAAATTATAATCTCCTAACTTTAGTCTGAGATATTATATAAAATAAACACCTTAAAGAATAAAGTTATCACCAATCTTTTGTCTGGGAACACAAGGAGGGAGGTAGCCAGCGAGCCTGGAGGGGGAGGAACAGGGAGGGAGGCGGGGGCGGGAGGTGGGGTGAGAGTGTGGTGTGTGTTTATTTATTTGAGATAAGATGTGACAGTTGGCACTGAAGGCCTACTGTTTATTTATCATTACTTAAGAGTGACTAAGCTCTTCTCATAATTTGCCACCCAAACGACCTGGGTGAATACAACTTACATTGCTGGGATTCTTGTAAGATAGGGATTTATTTGAATACCTGTATAAACAATCTATATTTGCAATAGACATAACAATTTAAGTATCGTAATCATTTAGTACATGTACAGTACAGGTTTGTTCCACGGTAAAATCTTTTGAACAACGAAAGAAATCAAAAGTCATTGTTTTGGTCATAATTTTATCCCACTTTCCACTGTAATACGTATGTCATTTCTGCAAAAGTATTACATTTCCATATTTATTTCTGAGAATATATTCATTCAGTCACAGTTAAGGTAAAATATACTTGTGATGTAACGTTTTAATGAAAATACCCGGTATTTAGACATACAGTATCGTAGTTTTCTTTTGTTTCAAATTTAATTAACAAAGATTGATGTTTCAAATGTAATAAAAAAAAATTTATGTACAGTATTTCTATAAATAAACTTTAAAAAATGAATACTTTATGTTTTACATCGTCCTGTGCATACCATACCATGCATTTGGCTACTTTGGGCTTGCTATGATGATGCAAGAGATATGCCCTGGCAACTGTACCGACACTCACAGCTGGTGGTACGTTGGTGCTTCGTTTCCATTGTTTACTGGTAGTTACTGGTAAATATTTTTCAACCTAACGAAACTATTACCCGTTTAGAGGTCTACCCCCAATTTTTTGCCAAATAATTTGGTCTTAAAAACTCGAACTACACACAAGTATATACCTTAAATAAAGACATGGGGTGCCAGGGGTTTTTTAGGGGGGGGGGGGGCAGCAAAAGTACACGGATTTTTAACATTCACGGGTATCTCTGTTACCTAACCCCAGCGTATGTTAAGGGCCAACTGTACTTGTGTTTGCCAGCAGTAATATCTCAGTTAGCCGGAGCAATTGGTGTAGAGCACTACCGGGAATGAGAGATTTCCAGGTAATGAGACGACCCTCTCAAAGCTGGAAAATAATCCCTCATCGCTGGAATTTTCCAGAATTTTCCGGGTAAAGGAAAATTTTTCTCGTAAGTTCAAGAAATTGTGCATTACATCATCTCTCAAAGCTGGAAAAAATCCCTCATCCTCGGAATTTTCCAGGTTATGGAAAAATGTTCTCAGAAGTTCCAGAAATTGTGCATTACATCATCTCTTGAACCTGGAAAAGTATCCCCCATTCCCAGAATTTTCCGGGTACAGTACAGTACTGAGAACATTTTCTCCGGCTATTGGAGAGTTCCGGTTTAGAGGGATTCCGGCTAATGGAGATATTACTTATATTATATACATGAATTAATATTCAAAAGAACAATCTTCATTAGAAATATATATACAGGGTAGTTTGGTTTCTGTAATATGATACCTTTATGATGTCACAAAAAAAAGACTGAAGAAAGAGACAAAGAAAGAAATGGAGGAGGAGGCAGCGGGGATGGGAGAGGCAGGGGAAGGATGCAGTAATTGTTGTTATTATTTGCTGCAAAAGTGTTATTAGGATTTGATTTAATGTCTTGTAACTTATATTGGTTATCTAAAATGTTGTCGCTTTGAATATATTTACCCAATTTATCTACTGTATTAAGCATTTCAGGTTTTATAGGTAATACTTGAATTTATTCAACTATATAGATGTAATGGAGCTAAAGAAATAATGGTTAGATGCAATATTTATAATAAAACAAACCTTTTTCTCACTAACAATTTTTTTTTATTTTAAACTGATAAACTAAGCAAAGGAGGCACAGTAGGGCATAATATCACACCTGGAGCAAACTGTACATTAAGATTCTAACTAAATGACCAGCCTACCAAACATAACTTACGAATCTCTCTGTAACACAGCAGTACTACCAGGATGGTAGAGAACATAATGGTTGATAAGAAGTTTGTGACGCTCATATGCAGTCATGTTGGACATCTGGTATCGGAGTCGTTTCCCTTCATCTTGACTTGCTGCGTCTGCCAGAAAAGACCTACTTGGCAGTCCTGCAAGAATAAAATGGTAATGAAATGACAACTTACAGTCAGCATCAATAGCTGAATGAACACTTAAACAATAAAAAAAAATGAATTCTAAAACAATCAGTGTTTGAATTAATACATTAATACACAAACGACTAAGAAACAGCACTTTACAAGTAACGGGTAATAAAAAACACGAAGGTATACCACACAACAAGCTCTACTGTACAGTAATCACATCTCTGTCGGGTATATTGTACCTGGATTGTTTCTTCTGCAAGTGAAATTATATTTACAGGTTGATTTTTTTACTTTTCAAGAGAAGGGCATAAATTTTATCTGTGTAAGGGATTGGTTAAACTCTATAACTGAGAATTGAAGTAAGGTATCCAACACTGTAAAAGTCTTCCAAATTACTCAAATGCATGAAAAAGCTTTTCCAGGATTAATCTTCTTTAGTTAAAAAGGAACAACATTCTTTTACGTACTGTACAAACAAACAAATACCGGGTAGATTGCAATAGATTACAACAGCATAGTTATACAAAGTTTGGCATAATAAGACAGAAATACTGTATACAGAATGCCCTTCAAATTCACTGGGGTTAGGTTGTCAAAATGGCCGCGAATAGCCAAATCCAAGAATAAGATTTGCTGACCTGGGGGGACATTTTACTCATGTACAAAGAAATGTATATTCCTTTATGTTTTTGACCTTAGGACAATTATTTTTTACCTGTATTGTATATATAGTATGTGTGTGTGTGTGTAAACACATACATATAAATAATAATGGGAAAATCCTCTAACAAATACTAATTAGAAAAAATTATTAAAAATGTTTTATTAATAACAAAGCACGGAGTAGACTTGTATGTGCTTTTTGTGAGTGTGTCTACACACACACACACACATATATACAATGGCTCCCTGTCCCAGCCGCGAAAATACCGGCAACTTTAAAACTACCCACAGACATTCTTGGGTATATCCAGGGTGTCATCCGCGAATAATAGAGGACTGCAAAATAAAAATCCACGAATTATCCGGACGTACTGTACTGTATATCGGTACTGTATTTATGAATAAATAGAATACGTATAATAAAAAACATGAAGCTTGCATGAATTCCCTCCACATTTTTGCGATAAAAATGTACAATACTGTATAGTACTGTATCTTTTACTGTACTTTTACTTTTATCCTCTTCGCCACTGACGCGGTTCACTAGCCGCTTGGGCGGTCGATCACGTCTCTGTTATACAATGTTGGCAAGTACTGACTCCTAAATATATCAGAACTTGCTATGGTGTTGGTCAAGTCAGGCTTTGAAGGAGCTCACATTTGGTACCATCACAATACTCTCTGACAGGCTGTTCCAAGAGTTCACAATTCTCACTCCAAAGAAGATGCCCTCACATTTTTCTGGACTTGAGGCTTCTTCAACCTTGAGCTGTGACCGCTTGTGGGGCAGACGTCTGCCAGCTCCAGGTATGTACATACGATCAAGTACTGTAGTGCCCCCTGAGATGTTTACACTTCGATTTGGTCGCTCCTCGTCCGTCTGTAGCACAAGCTAGGCAGTTGTAAGTGTTCTAATCTCCTTGAGAAACTGAGGTTCCATAGAGAAGGCACCAGTCTAGTGGCCCTCCTTTGAACATATTCAATCAATTGAAAATCTCTAGCATACCTCGGGGACCAGACAGGGTGACAATACTACAGATGGGGAAACACCTCACTCTTGAAGATCGTGACAAGCGACGGACCATCCAGATATCAAAACGACCTTCTTATAAGACCTACTTGTTTCGTTGACTGATTCACATTATTTTCACAATGGCCCGAGAACTTAAGTTCATTGTTAACATACACACCCAGGTCCTTTTCACATTCGGTCTCAATTAATGCAGCTTCTCTGTCCTCTTGGGACTTGTGATATGCTTCCTTACTGTTGGTGTGACCTAAGTGCATTCTCTTGCATTATGTGACATTGAAACCTAGCAACCATTTCTTCGACCATTCTTGAAGCTCATAGGGATTTTTCTGTAGCTCTTCACAGTCTGTTTGCTTTTTAATTTCCCCAAGTAACTTAGCATTGCCCACAAACATTTGTATGGATGAGTGTATAGCTTCTGGCATATCATTTATGAAAGAAACAAACAACAACGAGCCCAATTCACTGCCCTGCGGTACCCCGCTTGTCACAGGTGCACATGACGATTTCATACCATTTATCACCACACTGTTTGCGGACATGCAGAAAGTCTCCGATCCACGCTAGGACATTTCCCCAAATCCTGTACCCTTCCAAGTTAAATCTCAGCCTTTCATGGGGGTACACTGTTGAAAGCCTTGGCAAAATCTAGGTACTATATATTGTCGATATTTCTGCCTTGTTCTAGAATTTGAGTCCAAACATTCAGTACCTCAAGTAATTGTGTTAAGGAGGATCATCCTTTCATAAAACAGTGTTGGCAGCCCTTTACAAGGTTGTTTTGCAGTAGGTGTTCCATCGTGGCATCTCTTATGATGCTCTCTAGTACTTTACACGCTATGCTGGTCAGGCTCACTGGTCTATAATTATTCATGGAGTGACGATTGCCCTTCTTGAATACAGTACTTGTACTCATATAAGCCATTTTCTGGTCATCAGGGACCTTTTACTCATCCGGGCATTTGCATAACAGGATCTTAAGGGGTTCCATAAGCTCGTTACACAGTTCTTTTAACACTCTGGGGTGTACCATATCAGGGCCAGGACTCTTGTGATTCTTTAGCTTTGACACTTTATTTCTTATAACCTCGTCTGAGAACACAATGTGGATTAGCTCTATGTCAAATCGTCTTTCCTCAAACGCAGAAAGATTGTTCACATCCTCTCTTGTAAACGTCGAGGTAAAGAAATTGTTCAATGCCTCCACCTTATCCTGGTCAGAATCTGCACAACTACCATCTTTAAGCCTCAGGTCCAATGTGCCTACACTCCTCGCCATTGCATTATGCGCGAGGTGGCCGATGGGAACTGATCTGTGCTGAAGTGTCTCACACCCCTCCACGCCAGCCAGCTGGGGCTGAGGCAGGCATTGTACGTCTGGCAGCGAAGGGAGCTCAAGGACAAGTCAGCCAGCAATCAAAACGTTCACCAGTTGCCCGCGAAAATTTTGTGAACGAAGATTTATGAGTTTTATCCCCCCCCCTCCCCCCCCACCATTGCCCCTATTTATTGCCACAATGCCCATTGTTTCTTTGCTATTTTTACGACAATGGGCAAGAGGAAAGATTTAACAAAAGAGCAGATAGCGTCAATTATTAGTCTGCATAAGGGCAAGAAACCTGCAAAGGAAATATCAAGAAGTGTTGGTGTGAGTGAACAATCAGTTCAGATTTGGATTAAAGGATTTCGAGATGACGGCGGGTTGGCAACACCTGTGCACAGCGGACGGTCAGGGAAGGCTCGAAAAACTTCCCAACGCACGTTAACTGTTCTTAAGAAGCAACCTGATGCTAATCCACGTTTTGCAGCCACCAAGCATGCAAGAAGCCACTTCCCACCCTTGTCCAGAGGCAGCGTAGGGTTGCTTTTGCCAAGGCTAATGCTCAGTGGGATACGACCAAGTGGCAGCACGTGCTGTGAAGTGATGAGGCAACATTTTTTTTTTACTGGAAGTCGTACTTTTAACGTGTACAGGCGCCCCGGGAGTGATTCGCTTGACCCCAAGTTCACTTTTAGCACAGTTAAGCATCTTGAATCACTAATTGTGTGGGGTTGCTTCTCATACTTTGGAACTGGTGATCTTGTTGTGCTACCTAGAAATGTGTTGATGAACCAATTTAACTACTTGGAGTTGCGTGATGTATGTTTTTTTCTGCAATCATGCACGTCACCTGCACCATTGCCAGTAGCATTTGTATCACCATAATCAACACTAAATTCATCATCAAAATCACTATCACCAAGCATTACTGGGGTGTCCAAGTGAGCACTGGCGTCAAACACAGGCTCAGGAATAATGGGCTCCTGGACTCACACCAGAAGGCCTGGCCTCACTCGAGTCTTGCTCTAATATTGGGCAGATATTGCACAGCACTTCTCACACCCGTGGAATACGAATAAACGTCAATGTTACGCCGAAAAGTTATCACAAATAGCAGTAGAACGTACATTTAACCTCCTGATGCTAAAATACGTGCCAAAACTAAGAAGGAGGCAGCATCTGGGCATGCAGATTGGCCGAGGAGCTGTGACATAGCAAGGGGAAATCCATTGTGATTGGCTGCCTCGGGGGGTATGGTCTGAGGGAGGAGCGCTATCATTGGCCCGCGCTCCTCTCCCACTGAACGGGATGTTGCCACTTTCTGGAACTGAGCGCTCAGCCAGATACGTAGCTCCAGGCCTGAGGCAAAATCACACCTTATTTTTTAAGGACTTTCAACCATATTTCTATTCTAGCTAGAGGGTTACATCCAACGCCAACATATAGAGGAAGGGTGAAAATAGTGATACCCACCAAAAAACTCATTTTGTTCGGGGTGTGCTTCACCCCCTTCTGACGCTGAGCACCTCACTTGATTTAACATGTAAAAATTCATCATAGCTTCCTACACACTTTTAACTGAGAAGGACACAATGTTTTACCTTGTCTAGGAAGTCTGTCTTTCTGGTAAAGAGCATGACGTTCTTGTTGTTTTCTGCGTAATTTGACATCTTCCTCAAATGCTGAATCATAACCACTAGTAGCATTCTGTAAATAAACAAATCATCTCACACACCTTGTAAATGATGAACAACTGGATTTGGGTCCCTAACCCCGTCGTAAGTTGGGGAGGAGCTGTATTTATATACTGTACAGTAAAGTATCTACGAGAGGGAAAGAAATTGAGCCTCACAAAATGACAAGCCTTTTCCTACTACAGTAGTTGAGAGGAAACATTGGCCATAATTTAATTTGTTGCCACCCAAAGATATTTTTTTTATTTTAAGGTTGTAATCAATAATTTGGAAAATTCCAAGATGCTTTTTTTTTTATATGACGTTTCCCTCAGAAATGACTTATATATGCTGGGTGGTCCAAGGGGTCAGAGCCCCGGTTAGGAGGTTAGATTAAGTCATTTCTGAGGAAAACTTCATAGAAGAAAAGTGTCATAGAATTCTCCAGACTATTGATTACAACCTTAAAATTCTTTGATATTATTTTATTTTGGGACAATGTGGGAATCTTACAAATTTTATTTTTGCAGTCAATATTTTAGACAATTCTAAGACACTTTTCAGTCAATTTGTAGTTTCGACCAACCACGGCTCTCGGGTTGAGCAATGTTTTTTTCCGACGGTTTAGACGATTTTAAGACATTTTTCTCGATGAAGTTTCCCTCGCAAATGAAACAAAATTACCTAACCTAACCCGGGGGGGAGGGGGGTTCTGCCCCCTTGGCTCCCCCTATATTTAAGTCATTTGCAAGGGAAGCATCATAGAGAAAACTGTCTTAAAACTGTCGAAACTACAAACTGATCCACTTTTCTTCTAAAACGTTAGGTTAGGCAATTTTTTTTTTCATTTGTAAGGAAAACATCATAGAAGTGTCTTAGAATTGTCTAAACTATTGATTGCAAAGATAAAATTCCAAAGATTCCCATGTCTTTCAAAGAAAAACTTTACCAAATCTTTGGGGGCAAAAAGTGAAATTTTACCTAAATATTAGTTAGATAGATTCGTCCTTAGGTTAGATTAATTGCTTCGAACAAGAGTGTCAGGTAAATTTATAGTAAAGCACCGGTCTTTCTGTCGCTGCTATTAATATGTATTTCGTAATGTTCAGACATTTCTAAGACATTTTTCTCCTATGATATTTCCTCCGGAAATTAAGGATAACCAAGATATTAATTTTCCAATATTATTATACTGTACAGTATTTGGTCAGTCACAAGTAAATTTGCATGTTCAACTCGAGCCATATTGGTTGAAAATGCAAATTTACCAGTTTTACATTGTAGGGCAGATGTCACCTGTCAGCCACTTGTGGCTAAATACACCAAGGTAAAATTATCGTTTTCGTTATGTACATTCAGTCAAAGTTCCATCGACCACATCCTGGCTCTCGTACTCGCAATTTTACCTGGCAATACTTGAAGGAA